TTATTTTTTCTTTTCTCTCACTTTGGCAATCTTGAAGTCCTCTTCGTTGAGGCAAAAGAACCGTCAACACAATCGCTTGATAATTGGCTTGAATTTAATCTGTAAGGATTTTTCAATCCTTGCTGGCACGCTCGCATTTATGATATTTTCCTTCGTAGGAAAAATAAGCCAACAAAATTATAAGCATTTCATTTTTTTTTTCACAACCCTCAAATCAACTACCAAAAAAACTAACAAACTTCCCAAAGATAACTTTTTTAGCCAAAAGCCAAAAAGCCAACTTCTCAAACGAGCTCTCAAAACCCTAAATCTCAAACATCGATTGAAACATAAGATTCAAATGAATATATAAATATATTGATTACAATGATTATGTGATAAGAACGGCAAATCGAACCCAAAAAATCGACAAAAATTAACTGAACACATAAAACCCTATAATGAAATTTCGAGCCCCAACTCGCCGATATCGATGGCCAAAAACTAGAAATTCAAAACCCTAAGAGAGAGAGAGCCAATAGCGATAGACTCGCGAGGCAGAGCGGTTGAACGTCGTTCAAAGCGATTGCAGAAGCCTTTCTATAACCCTACAGGTCATGTTTGGTTGTCCCGATATATGTAGGCCAGATTAGATCTACAGTTTTTTGGCTTCCTTTTGACAAACTATTTCAGTAATTTTTTGATTTTTTTTTTTTTAAATATGAGTTACAAAAAATTTGACATGTTTAATATGATTTTTTAATTTTTTACCAAAAAAAAAATGAAAAATCTTTGACCATTTTATAAAATTTGTTAACTTCTTAACTTTTTTTAATAACTTTTTAAAGCTACAATATATGTTTTCTAAACAAGCCTGTAATTTATTATAAATTAAAAATTAATAATAAAAAAATAAAAGTCAAAAACATCACTTCTCGAACTTTTAGATGATAAACTTTTTTTAATTTATTTAAAATCAAATTTCACTATTTGGATGAAAACTTTAAAATCATATATGGACTAGATTGAACTGCACTGAGCTATCTTTCTTTCATTTGTGAATCCCTTATTTACATACAAAAAAATGACAAATATGAACTATAGTTTGTGGTCAATTTTAGTTCCTAAACTAAAAGAATTGAATGATTCAATTCGATACTAATTTTTTTTCTCAACCACAATCAAACCGAATCATTATACCCCTAGTTCGATAAAAAAATTGACACAAACTAATTGCAAAGTTTTCACCAAGTTGCAATTAATTTCTCAATTATTTAAGTTGTGTTTGTGTTTCGATCTTGGATGACTTATAAAAAAATATTTTCTTTTTCTTTTTTATTCAAAAATTTCTATCCAAATAAAAGATCAAAACACAGCCTCGATATTTTCGGCAAGAAATTCACAACACATGGGGAGGGAGGAGAAGGGCAATGCACTGATTAACAATAGTAATTACATCTAGCAAGCAAACTGCTAACATGTAAACCTAATTTAAAGAAGGCTAAGGTATATTTTCAGAAATGAATCCCAAAATATTGTCTTATGACACCACTGAAATATATACTTACAACTCCATCTCAATGATGGGAAGAATAAATTAAAACCATAAATAAATCATAATTGTCCTTTTTATACATCAAACAAATGGGTCACACCAAGAAAGAAAAAGGGGGAAAAAAATGAAAAAAAGACCCATGCATTTCCCGGACATCATACCTTACAAGAGGAGGGGAAAATCTGGGAGATACCTCCTTAATGCAATCTTACGCAAATAAATATTATGAAGGGGATAAAAAATAAAAAAAATAAAATAATACAGTTTGCAGAAGAAATAACCAACTCAGTTGAATCCTGATCAAAACGCCGAAGTTGTTCACCTGAATGCTAAATAACAGATCTGTGAACCGCAAAATCTCAACTTAATATATATTCTTCTATGGGTCACGAAGGAGCGTGAATTTTCATACTTCTATCATATCAACATCCAGCCGCTTTCAAAAAGTTGTCGTATGGACTTAATGCGGGTAACCTGAAGGAATGAGGATGTTGCTGGTACTCGGCTGCACACATCATAGAAACTATACCCGCTAATGGTTTGTTTGTATTGGCAGTGAAGTTCTGGTCCAAGAAAGGATTATTAACCTGCATTTGCAATTTTATTTCAGGATATCAGGTTGATCCACAGAACATACATAACAGTAGTTTTAAAGGTAGAAGCATCAAGGAACTAGAACTTCATTACTATAAGTCCAAATTACACTTAAAGGGAGCACCCCACTACTCTCCCATCTGTGCACCAACCATTAATCCCTCCTAGTGAGTGAGGTTAGAAATGTAATTTTCCCTTTTCTGTTTACGCCATTACTTTAAATTTGATTTTTTATACATTATGAGAGTAAATTGATATTGGGTCAGTAAATATTTGTTTATTTATGTATTTGTGTATACAGTGAAGTGCTGTGGTAGAAGGGAACAGCATGCACAAAGTTCCCATATAGGTGCCCTTTTATTTCCATTTAAACTTGCTTTAATCTTGTGATGTAGGAATATCCTTGTGTTTGTTTGATGTTTAATAAGAGGCATTTGTCACTTTCTGATATTAAATTCCGTATTTTTTCCCGATCATCAGTGCTAAAATCACTACATGGAATACTAAATACTAGTGCCAACATGATAGTCTAGATAACATTCTCTACAATATTATTGCCAAGATAGAATACGCAAAGAGACAAAGCAATCAGATAGTTTCATACAAGCCTAATATGGTATGAAGACGGTGAGCCCAAGTACCTACACTAGTTTATAGTATATACAGTTCTACCTTATACACACATATACATAAGTATCCATAATTATGTATGTTCATTGTGATTTTGAACCTTCGGTATTCGTATTTCATTATTTTGGGAAGGTCTGTAAGATATTCTTAATTTAAATGCCTGAGCCTTGCATACCATTTCAAAAGCATTGCCTTTTATATTAATATGTGATTTAAGCAGTAAAAAAAAAAGTATATAAGAAGTAAAATATTTTTCATGTGTGTGACGGTTGGAATGTACTGAATAAAGAAAGTACCCCTATGAAATCCTGACCAACATGAAGGGCATGATGAGCCTGCTGCACTCCATCATTATTCTGTGAAGTCATGCTCAGCATATTTTCCTGCCTGTGCTGGGCGTTCATCAAATAGGACATCTTCTGCTGCTTTCCCATTAGAAGTGCTTCACAGTGACCGGCCATTTCCTTGTAAGACACATCAGACGCAGTGCACACAGAGATTCGCCCGACGTGGTGTGCTGTCTCCAAGACCTGTGTACATTCAGAAAACTCTTTTAAGTAATTCTATAATAAACTGTTTTATCATAAGCAATTGAGAACCAAACCAACATGGCTAAATTGTTTTACAGCTAGTTCTGGGCTTTGTTGTATGTGATTGTAAATATGATTCACTACACACCAAATGTCAAAATGATTAATGATAAATAAATAAAAAAATTGTAAAAAAAAAAAAAATTCATTGGCATCATAGACACATTGGATAGGTAAATACCCCATATCATTTACATTTAAAGTGAAGCATTCAATATGAACTTGAATGAATTTTCTAACGAGTCTTAAAAACAGAGGAAAAAAGAATTCAAGACCTTAATTTAACTGTCATATTGGTCCATAAATGGATAATTTTTAGTGCTATGATAAGTTGCAGGCTAAGAAGTACGGACACTTCTAAGAAAGTGACGTATTCGTGTCGTATCCGTGTCGAACACTGACACTCTTAAGTGTGTATCTCTTAAACACACGTGTCTATCGATTAAACACATATGAAACTAATTATAAGTTTGAACAAAATAACTTAAGATACAATAATAAAACAAAAACCATATAAATTTATAGAAATTAGTATCATATTACATTTTTTATTATTTTTGAATGATATATTCATATATATAATATATAATAAATATATAAAATTATATATTTTATGTGTGTCCCCCACGTGTCGTGTCCTGCATGTTTTGAAAATTAGCGTGGCGGCGTGTCCATGTCGTATCCATGTCGTGTCATGTGTCCGTGTCCATGCTTCTTAGGTTGCAGGCGATAAGGGAAGAATTTCAAGCATATTCGTCTTTTAGGGGGCTCTTCATTAAAGATTGCTTCATGTACCATTGTAAAGAAAAAGGCATTGGGTAAATTTTTTTAATCAAATTGAACTTGAATTAGATGTGAACCAATTTCAGTCTAGCAATATCCTCGTGAGATCATCTTTTATTATTCCCTTCCTACTTACTGAAGCAAAAGCAACCAAGTAATAGAAGATGCAACAATGACGTACAGATTCTAGAAGTTGATTGACGCTCAAGAGATCAGAGGTTTTGATGGCCTGCTCTGAATTATGTTTGGCTTGAGTTTCAAATGACTCTGGAAGAACTTCATCGTCTATTGTAAAAATTGGACCAGCCTGCACATTAAAAATGAGAATAATCAAATCTCGATAGTCAATTTCAAATAGTAAAGATCAAAGGTGATTACCTCATCCGTAGAATTGTGGTCATTTGATTCAAACTGATATACCATTTGTGGAGTGTCTATGAACTGCGCTCCGAGAGGACACCCATCATCAGGTAAAAATTCATTGAGCAACTGATCCCTTATAGTGGACAACTGAGAACGCCAAAAAGAAGTTTAAAGTCACTAACAACATACTGTACAAGTATATGCTTTAATAATTAAAATAAGTCCTAGAAAACTAAAAAGCTAGCTTATTTTTTCTACTCATGTTTGTATTTTCTGATTTATTTTCAATTTTGAATCAATTTTTTATTTTTATTTTTTAAGTCTGTCGTGACTAGACCATTCTAAAATTTACAAAATTTGAGTCAATTTTGAAAGAAAAAAAGTTAACTAAAGACAAAAATAAGCCAAATTATATATAATTACGAAAATTGGCTTATCTTTGTATTTTCTGTTTTTTTTTTTTTAGAAAAAAAAATTAAATAAATTTAGGATCGTCTAGTCCAAACGAATTTAAAAAGTAAAGAAATTTGACATAATTTTAAATAAAAAAAATACTAAACACAAAAATAAGTCGAACTAAAAAGTCAAAAAAGGCAACTCCCAAAAGAAGCCAAAATTTTACATCTGATGATGACTTATCCAAATTCTTCACAATCACAGATGCCAAGGATTCCCTAGACTGGTCCTCTGTGATTTTTATTTCTGAGAGAGATTTTGAAGCAGAACTATCATCCTCCTTAGATCCGTAAATAGTTTTGGAAAGGTGAGAACCAGTGTGAACTGCCTGTAACTTGCAATCTTCCACCAAATGCAAGAATGGATCCACCTGAGAAAATATAAACATAGTAAAGCATACACGAGGTAGTCTTCATGATGTAAATGAAAATGAGGATGCACCCAAAAAAATAAAAAACAGAAAGAATTGGCATTTAGCAGCATTGATTGCTTTAGGAAATACTTGACAAGGATATGGAAATAAAACCCTTATCCGCAATGAACCACGTACCGTTTTTTCTGTAAGAGCAGCCTTGACACATGGAAGAAGGGGAAGTATACTGTAGGCTTTCGATGAAAGGATAATCATAGAAGTTGCCAAACTAAAGAGGGATCTGCATCGTGACGCTGGCAATGGCCCTGTGGAAACAACAAGACATGTCTTGGGTTGGCACAGTTGATGTCCCACTAAGTCAATCTTACTCATTCATTACATCACTATTATAACATTTCATTAAACAACAAAAATGAAAATAAAGAACAAAGCATATATATAAATATAAAAGTGATAATTTAAAAAAAAATAATAATAATAATAAGAAGAAGAAGAAGCACCATATATAGGCAAATTAAATGCAATTCCATCCAACCTACAAAAATATAAGCATAATAGTAGGTTTGGATGCTAACCTCCTTCAATGAGAGAAATTCTTTTCAAGGAAAAAGCCAGCTGAAAACTTCGGACTAGAGCCTCTTGACTGGAGTTCTGCAAACATGATGAGTTGTAATAAGAAAAGGCCTACAAACATATACAACAACAACAACAACAACAAAAAAAAAAAAAAAAAAAAAGAAGAAGATATTGAGGCAGATAAAGGATAATTATGCTTATTACATATGGTGAATTCACCAAATTTAACAGAATTAACAAAATCTACCATAGACTACCAGACATGTCATGGAAAATCTGATTTAACATGACTCATCCAGTGAATGAATTTCCAAAATCACTGATCTCATGGGGAGCTATATCTGATGAAGTTCCACAATAGCCTAGAAAGCTGCCATGGCACTTGTTTTCTAGCAACCAGGGGGGCAGAAAGATGGCAATGGAACAACTCCCACCTGGCAGACAATGGTTGGTCGGGATAGTTTGTAATAATTTTTTATCAAATAAATATAAATAATTGTTAAAATACTACAAAAGAGGAAGAAGAAGAAGCTGTTGTACGGTTTCTCTTATAACAAAGGCAAATTATTGCAAAGTTGAATGATATGAAACTTAAAGACGTAATAAATGTATATCGCTGATGAATGGAACCACAATGTGAATGTAAATCATAGCAATATCAAGACGTGTTGCTGTGAGATCCCGAATTTTTGAGGTATTAATATTTTAGTGAGAGATATTGGTTACAGTTTGGTGGTGAGATTTTTAGATGAGAACCTAACTTATTTCCTTATCTTTATTTTATCTCTTTTTATCTCCACCTCATTAGTATTCATCTTCTTGTGAAATAAATTTACTTCTCTTCCTTAGTAAGCAAATCATTTTTACTTTCCTTTCTCTCCAAGGAAAGTTCATTTTCTTTTTCCCCAAGTACACCCCTTTCTTGCCCACCAAATAAACTTTATTTTATTATTTTCTTTTTTCTTTCTTTTGCCCCAAGTATCCTTGCCCTATAAATTGTGCCTTTCATATCCCTTAATTCCATTTCTTCAAAGCTCTCTCCTTCTTCTCTCTCTCTCTCTCTATTTTTGATTGTAGGTCACAAGTCGAGGACCGACCGACCGTCTTTGGAAGCCCACTGTGAGTAACATTCTTGTAAAGATATGTTTATATAAATTATGTTCAAACCGTTATATGATAAGATATGATTTGTTGAACTGTTATTTTGCTATGTGAACAAATGTCCTATTTGTGAATCTACTATGGCATCCACAGATAGTCCCAAGTCATGGGGGATGGCATGTAAATGCGGGTCCATGACATATCTGTGATTACGAGATCTCTTTAGCCACTTCATTGTAGTGATATGTGTTTAATCGGTATCCGGAACCGATTACTCTAATTGGAATACGATAGGATATGTTCTGTGGGATGTACTATTATTATGTTCTGATATGAGACTGATATGACCGACATGTATGATCTGTTTTCTGTATATGATATGACTTAGAATTCGTTCACTAACCTCTTTACATTAATGTTATTTACTGGGGTTTAGCTCACTGTTTTATATATATGTGTAGGTGAGCGTCATGGAGAACCAGCTTAGGGAGAGAGTCGAGCCACCCTTTAAAGCCTTACGAGTTTTGGTGCCTCTGAGTTGAGGCTAGGTCGAGAAGACCGTTGTATAGTCTGTGATCATATTGTCGAGCTTTTGTTTATATATATATGTCCATGAATGATGTTTTTGTATGTATGTATCATACAATGGGTAAATTAGCGTTTATATACATCTGAATTTGTGTATATAGATACATAGCTCAATGGACTATTTGTTGTCTTTATATTATAAACTTCCGCTAGCCCCAATTATGTTGATTTGTATAGGAAGGCCTTTGGTAATCGCGGATTACTGGCCGGTCACTTCACCGACCTTTATGGGGCAGGGTTCGGGTCATGACAGTTGCTGAGTGAATAAGGGGAAGACTAAAGAGGGAAAAAGACGAGGGAAAGATTAAAAGAGGGAAAAAAAGGGCAGAAAGAGGGAAAAGCAGGGGAACCAAGACAACATGTAAATATGGATACATGCTGATAACAAAATTGATCGAAGACAAATCTACAAAGATGAGCTATATGGTGCAAGTTTTATGCTCTAGTTGAAGGAACGAAGTCTCTACAAGGTCGAGGGAAGGCCAAACAAATTCAGAAAACTAAATTTCCTTGTTTAGGATTTTAATAGAAATTGTGATGCAGATGTGTTATGAACATAGACGTAACTTTCATAACCCAAATAATATTCTAGAAAGAGAAAAAAAAAAAAACATCAGAATAAACTGTAAAACCAAATACAAATCAACAATTACCTTGCCTCGAGAGAACAGCAACACTAGGCTATATGTATGAGCAATTGCTTCATAGTTTCCAGGTATATTTGCAGGAGAGATGGATTGTGCCCAAATTGAAGAAAGAAGGAGGCTAATCTGGCGGCTACTCAGCCTAAGAGAAGTTACTTCCTGGTATTAAAAGAATAAAACAATGGTCATATGAGCCGACAATCCAAAATATAGGTAACTTGATACCGATAAGGAGTCTCAATTAAGGGCTAAAGTCAGATCTTAAACTAATACCATGTTAAGTTATCAATTATGCCAAAAGCTTATGTTGTTAAGAAATGAGCCTAACAATGTATATTAAGCTATTTAACAAATAAGAGTTTCTAAACAGAAATGAAAATGCCAAAACCTACCAAATCCTTATTTAAATTGTTGAAAGAATTTTCATCTACTGTTGGAAGTATTGGTACACTTTTGATGCTATAGACCCGACTATAAGTTGACTTGATTCTGTTCAGCATCCCGCTATTGTTGTTTGTTTGCTGTCCTTCTGTAACTAGTTTTTCTTTGTTATCAAGACTAACATTTCCCTTTGCGGAAGACCTTTCATTTCCCATCTTCCCAAACAGGGCAGCTGAAGAAGAAAAGACAGAAACAGTTCTTGAGAGAGTTCTTGCAAGATCTGCAGCACTCTTTGACTCAGTTATAGCTGAACTTGTTTGAGGGCAAACCGAAGATGGCACAAGAACAACAGCAAAGATGCGGTGAGCTCCAATTCGAGTTTCATGATCTGGATGGACCATAGCTGGGAGTAATTGATGAAATAAAGCCTCGGGAAATGCCTGAGGGGAAAAAGATAAACTCAGATGCAAGGTTGGATAAAGGGTTGAAATAACAAGAGAAAGCAATATAATCATTAAAAAAATTTAACTTCCTTGCCTTGTTTTTATATGACAAATTTGGTATAGAGGCTACGATTTGAGCAGTACGAAAAACGGCAGCAATAGTAGTTCTGGCTATAACTGTAATATTTGAGATGTTCTCCAACATCACAGCCATGGTGTCAAGAATTGGGCCTGCTTCTCCAACCTGTTTGTCAATGGCAATTCAATATCAAATCTCTCAAAATACAGTTACAAAATTCTTTTAAAAGTTTAGGACACTTAGAACAAGTGAAATACTTAAAAATTCAAATACAAATTATAAACCAAAATGTAGCATCACAAGTATTTCCAGCTCGAGATCCAAAGAACTACAAGTCCACAACATTGCAGGTGTATTAAGGAAAATTAAGAGATAAATGATACCTTGAGTGATAACTCCACAAGGCACTCATCAACTGCTTCCCGAAATTTTCTGTTCCAATTGATTATCTCAGCTCCTAAATTTGCATCATCAAGTGAGTAATGAATGCTTTTCCGTAGGTGCCTCATTACATCTGTTAATGCACCAATTATAGCTACAGAAGGCCGGACCTTTGCAAGTCGAGCAAGGGACGTGGTAACCTCAACAATGTCAAGCTGCATATCAGGTTGTTTAAGGACATTTTTGTGGTCAAGATGTTTGACTAAAATTGAAATCCAAACGTGTGCATTTTCCCCTGCAATATCAAACGAAGAGAGAACCATGGTCATCCTTTTATCAAAGTACAACTGCAATTAGAGGAATAGAAAAGAATAGCATTAATGGAGAGAAGGGCAAGATAGCATCACAGAAATGAAGGAAAAATCTGTTTGATTTCGTTTTCAAAATCTGTTTTTCTGCACACAAAAAATAAAAAAATTAAAAACCTAAAAATTAATTTGATGAATAAAATTTTTTTAAATAAAAACACTCATGATTTTCATATGGTTATATCTTTTTTGGGGGTGGAAATAGTTTTTAAACATTTTAAAATGACTTTTTGATGTTTATTTTTTTCAAATTAATTTTAATTTTTTAAAAAAAAAATCAGAAAACAAATTCTAAAAATGAAACCAAAGTGAGGAGTTTCTAAATAACAAAGGTAACAATAATACCAGAATCATCCATTAAAAACTGCATCTCCTTGAGGACAGGAAAAGCGAGCCCAGTTTCAGCCCGCCATAAATTTCCACTATCAAAATATCGGAACACGGATTCCAGAACACGTCGTGTGGTTGTAGCCTCCTTGGCCAGCTTGGCCATATTATGCAGGCATACTCTAGACCAAAAGCATGGGTTCTCTGCATCTTCCCTGTGGGGAAAGAAAAAAGAAAAAAGATACACTTTATGATAAAAACAACAAAACATAAATGCATTCAGAGGATTTTGTGCGAAGCAATTACACTGTCACATTTACTTCGCCTTTCTCGTTCACAATCGTTCTCCAAGAAGGAACCTTCATAATGACCTCTGGTGAAGGTGAGACATGACCCTCAACTTTAAGCACTTCTTGCACCCACCGGTTCTGGTTAGCGTTTCCAGAGTCTATAGAGTCTTTATTAGGACCTCCATAATTTTCCAAAACTACTGAAACAATCTATTTAATGAAAATATGTCAAAAGCATTTTAGTGGAAGTTGATGGTAATACCATATAGCCATTTCCGTAATTTCCACTATACAAATAATGTCAACACAAGTATGAGAAAATATAAGGGATATGAAAAGAATGACCAAGAAAACTAATATAAAATTTCCAAATTAGCTTTATTTTTATAATGCATATGATGCCAAAAAAAAATCTATTTGAGAGATCAAATATTCGAATGAAGGTCTGTAGGCCTGATGCAGAATTAACAACATATCCTAACTTGTTGAGAATTTTAAAAGTTGATAGCTTTGAAGAGAGTATTGGGATGTCTATCCTCCTTTTTCTGGAAGAAAACAAAAAACACAAAAACAAATTTTATTTTTTTCTCCTTGAGCAGGAAAGCAACAAATATAAGTACACATGCAAGATTATGGAACTGATGAAACTAGCTCAGATGCTTCTGCAGTGTAAAAGATTATTAAAAACCAAAATATTTTCCCAGGATGAAAGGAACAAAACAAATATTTAACCCATTAACAGTTAGATTGCCATATCAAAACCAGCACAATAACAATTGCATAGCAATTTTAATGCTAATACACTTATATGGCTATAGGCCCAATTGAAAAATAATAAGCAACGTTTAATTTTCCAAGTACCAAACAAGAGATCCGACACACGAACTCAGACAGAGGGCGGGAGGGAGAGGGAGAGGGAGAGAAAGAGCTATCAACAGGCAGTCTGGCAACAAGATAAAAAGTGATAGATAAACTAGCAAACTAAAAGTGAAGCTTTTATTACAATACCACATAAGGGGAGAACTCTAAAAGGAAAATTAAACGAGTTTCATGTGCTTACATTGTCAAACTCAACGGAAATATGGGAATTTTGACCCATGAGCCAAACCTACAGCAATAAAAACATAGAGTAACAGGAAATTAACGATCAACTGGTTAAGATATACATATGTACCAAGGTTTGAGAAATAATAAACTGTGAAGGAATGAAATTTCATAAACAGAACCAAGAACCATGAGGTGTTAAAGTCCATTCGGCATTAAGGTCCTTGTGCTGTAGAAAAAACATCCTGAGACAGTTGGATAAGCAATTTGAAATAGAAACATAAATAAATAAAGATATTCTATCAGTATCTAGTCCGCCACAAGAGTACCAAGAGTAATTCTTCCCTTTAAAGGGAATGCTTCTTCTATGCAAACTCTTGTTTGAGGTTGATTAAAATCAGCATATTACTTTCTTCTAAAAAGGGAGAAAGAAAAGGAAGGAGAGAAACTAGACTATATTCTATTCCTTTACAGTCTGCTAGCCTCTTCAAAAACCTTTCTGAGCCTACCTCACTTTTGATGTCCCATGGAAAGCTATGTACAATTGAAATAGGGGCTTCACTCTAAACAAACAACTAACTAGAGGAGTGTATGTGTGGTAATAACAACTAACTAGAGGTAATAACAAACAATTTTATCTAAATATAGAAGAGATAAAGGTAACAAATAAGTGTCACCAATAGCTTCAGAAGAGACAATAAATTGGTATTTAATATATGTTTTTCTTAAAATTATCTCTATTATTTAGGTTTTTCTTTTTTCCGCTAGGCAGGACAGGTGTAAAACATACTTCAAATCCACTTCTATAGAAATTTTAGGATACCAGAAGAGGAAAGGGGGAATAGTGAAATGTTAATGACAAATCGATGGCATCTTCGTGCATCACTTGTATAGAATTTTGCACACCAATATTTCTTATCTTTATGCATCACTTATGTAAAATTTTTCTCACCAATATTGCTTAGATTCATGCATTATTATTGATGCCAAATTCCATAATCTTAGGGGAAAAACGATACCAGTGAAGAAAGGGCTTGCAGGGCAGCTGAACGAAGACGCCTTTCTCTCTCATGTTCTCCTACTTCTTGTGCTAGTTGACAGAGTTTTGGAATAAATCCTTCTAAGTTAAACATGTAAGTCCCATCTGTCTGCAAAATAAACAGATACATAAGTCCAAAGTTCAACATTTCACTATTAACTCAATTTCCGTAATTGATGGATAAACAAGAAATAACCCAAAGTAAAGACATTCCACCTCACTAACCTGATTATTTACAAAGTCAAAAAGTGTCTGGCATCCTACCATTCGCATATCATCCTGTCGTGTTTGATCCATCAGAATGTGAATGATGCTTAATAAACTACTCGCAAAGAGAGGCCTGTCATATAGTCATGGATTATAATGCAGATACGTAAGTATATCCAACAGAATAGGAGCATAAGATATACATCAAATCATGTTATCCATCAATGATATCTCTGCTTGCTCCCCACTACTGCCTATTGAACTCCATTACATCAAGCATTTTGGATATTACCATACAACATCAAACTCCAGAAAAATATTGAGTAAGAAATTTAGCATTAACAGGTTAAGATAAATAATGCCTTCAAAAATTTTTACAACAGCACCTTACACAAAATATGTAATGAAAGCATAAGAATAGGATCAACAGGAATGAACTCACATTTGCTCCTTGCAAGTAATTAACAACTTCTTGTAAATACACATGACAACTTTTGCAGATTGAAAATTCTCAGTTCTCAGTTCCTTGTAACACCTTTGTTCAAGTGAACTTGTGATCTGTTAATCAGAATCAAAACTTACGTCAATGAAGCAACATAAACAAAATTCATGAAAATTTGGTAAATATACTGATTTATGCTGTCTGGTCCTGACATGAATAAAAATATTAAATAAATGGACTCTAGTTGATAAACACAAAATGCAAGGATAAGTCTCAGGTGAATATATCTGCCAATCAAAGTCCTATGAACATCTCTCCTGTAGGTGTTGTTGCACTTCATTTAAAGGGGACAAGGGCAAAAGAGAGAGAGGGTGAGGAGGAGAGAGAAGCGGAGGTGGCCAGAGAGGTGACTGGTTGTCTAGGGTTAGGGTTTTTAGTTGGTTAGGATAGGAGGAAGAAGATGAGGTTAAGGACACATTAGTCCATTTACTTCAAAATTTGATAAAAAAAAATTTCATGTTAAATTCTTGAAATAGGCACATAAATCATGCTTCCAGTCAATTTGAATTGATTGTTTAACAGTATGGAGGTAAAGTGTAAAATTGCCAAAACCACATGAGGGGTCTTTGGGTATTTTTAAATGATAGGGGAGTAAAGTGCTACAAGGCCAAATCATAGGGAAATAAGATGAATTTTACCCAATAAAATTCCTAGTTACACTCCAAGGAGTTAACATCATTGATAACTACAACCATGAAATATACAAAACTCAACCCATTTTTTCATTAATACATTGAAGACAAATTACAATCTTAAGGTGGTTACTCAAATATGAAGCACCTCGGAGCTAAATTAATAAGGAACCTACTTCATGAAAAAATACCCTTAACAAGGTGAGACTAACTGCATCAAAGTGGTTGAAATTAAACTCAAGAGTCAATTGAAATATAAACACAGAGTAAAAAGTTCAATAACTTTGGTTTACGTTCAAGATGTTACAAGGACAGTTACTCATAGAACAACAATTCAAAGTGTGTCTTCACCAATCAAAATGCCAAGTTGTATCAATAATGTCATATAAACAAATAATTGCACATACTTAAATGATGTGATGGGTTTCCCATTAAAATTCAACATTGAACGAATGAGACAAATCCCATAAATTTGGGACTCCACATGAAACATATAGTACCTTTGGTATACGCAAAGGATTTTTGGCAGCATATTCACACAATTTTCCAATCTTCCGGTCATTTGGTTCTTCTTCCTATAAAAATAACACCATAACAAATAGGATTTTCCATTTCAAACACTTCATGCAAAAAAAAAAAAAACATAATAATGTTGAGCATAATAACATAATAATGTTGAGCATACTGAAGCTGCAAGTTGACCTAGCTCATTTAACAAATGACTAACTGTTTCAGATGGAACATGCTTGCATGATGAAGAAAGTCTATAGTCAGTTCAAACACAAAGCAAAACTTTGCTTACATGCAAAAAAAAAAAAAAACATAATAATGTTGAGCATACTGAAGCTGCAAGTTGACCTAGCTCATTTAACAAATGACTAACTGTTTCAAATGGAACATGCTTGCATGATGAAGAAAGTCTATAGTCAGTTCAAACACAAAGCAAAACTTTGCTTATAATAAAATCAAATGGGTGAATGTTACAAGTCTCGAAAACATCTGCCTTCTATCCTGGATCAAGTGAACAAAATAACATAAATTGATCTTTCAACAAAGATTAGGAAGTACATAAAGCACAAAGACCTAACCTGCGATTTGGGAAAAATGTCTGCTATCATCTTTTTATACCTCTTCACGGGCTGCCTTGACCTCGCCCGCATTGCAGGGCAGAAAAAACAAAGATTACCACATACCGGCAAAACCTGCCTCGAAATTACTCCGGAAACAAGGCTCATTTTGAATCCCGATTATGTTCAAATCACAGACAATTCTCTATTCTCTATTTCCTTCAAATAAATATGTTTTTTTTGTTATTATTATTGGCTTCCTTTCCCTTCTATTTCAATCCAAAACTCACAATTTTCGAAACCCAAAATGAGAAGGGAAAGAAAAGCTCTGGAGAACAAATGGGTACCTTCAGATCCCGGAACCAGCCTACAATCATCAATTTTGAGGCCATCAAAGCTTGAAATTACAAAAACTCATTTCAATACATTGTAAATGCACAATGCAGGTTCAGAAATGGCAAGAATTCTGATCAACAATTGATTGAATTTGGTGATATGCATATCACATATATCATATAAATGTGATGAAATTGAGTTGTGGGTTATGAAGAATGAATGTACCTTCGGATCAAATTCTGAAACAGAAGACCGGAGGCTGGTAATCCCGTCAAAGGGTTTCAACCATCGACCGAAACTCCAGCACCGCGAAACTTTTCTGATCTCTCTCTCTCACATTTAATAACTACCTTCCTACCTTCTCTCTCTAAAAACTCTATTCCTTTCTCTGTTTCTACATATACAAATACAACTGTCCCTGTACTTGGAAAAAAATCAGTTTCCTTGTCAAAAAAATGATGGGAATGGGATGCTTTATTTGGAATTATGATAAAAGATGAAATTACACCTGTTTTTTTTTTTATTATATTTTTATATTTATAAAATTTATTTGATGACATAGATTTAAAATTTTTCACCTACTCATTCCGACAGCCAATTAAAAGTGTAATTAGAATGTGAATATAATTAGGCAACATAGTGGTATAGAAGTTAACGGTATCTAAATATATCTTAAAATATTATTCGACATCTCATTTTTTATAATATTTTTTAATTCTATCATAAAGAATCAAATTAAAAAATTCATTTCTCTTTATGTGCCATCGTGTCTTCTCTTTTAATTGGCACCGCCATCCTAACTCCATTCTAATTAATGCCACACTTCCCGCCCCTCCCTTGCCCCACCTCCTCCACATTTTTCTTTTTTTTGTCATTGTTGTTGCCTCTTTTCAATTGTTACCCCTTTCTTTATAGTAAAATCACCATTAAAGAAAATCAAAGGTAAATTTATTTAAGATGAAATATGTCAAAATTGTGCAAAATAATATATATATTTTAAATACAAAAGTGGTGAAAAGTGCAAAAAAGAAAAAAAATAACAAAACAAAACAAAACAAATCAAATTTTCTGCACTACTTACTCGTACCAACCAACATCAAAACTTGGCCTTCAAATTTTTTTCTCATGAATGTAGTTAGTTGTTATCTCACTACTCCATTTTTTGTAATTTTTTTACCAAAAAAATTCATCTTAATTAAATGCGTTATCACCTCCAATTTTTATTATGATTTTTATTTTGACCAAACGGACCCAAACAAACATGCAGGAGAAATAAAAAAAGGTATACTACGAAAATATTATAGACAACTCACTATTGTGTTTATAACAGAAATATATATTGAGAAAGTGGTTAGATTCATATGGTTAGTGGTATGCATGCAATCCTCATCCACCTCATGTCATGTACTTACCAAATATGTGAAAAACAAATTCATGAAACACAGAATCGATTACAATCACATAAAAAATAAATGAAGTAATTTGAATAAAATTATATATTTTATGACAAATTCCACTATAGATATTCATGAATAGTTGATTCATGAAACAAACATCTTTGAATCATTCCATTCCAAACCTTTAAAAAAATTTAAAACATCTGATGCTTCCTTTGGTCTCCAAGTCTTGGCCACAATTAATACAAATTGAAAACAACATAGAATCAACAACCACCAAGAAATAGTAAACTCAATTTGATATCCTCAAAGTAAATTTGAACATTTTCCCACAATGTACAATCAATTTAGTTCGTATTTGAACTATCATCTTCAAAAAATCTGTTGTCAAATATGGTTTCTAAGCTTTAGAAGTTCCTCCATGCTCTCTCTCAACATGTTCCACAAGCGCCACTGGATCACGAAAACCTCTGCTACACTTGGGGCAGACATCGATGCTGAGCTTCATAACACCAGTCCTTTCATGAACTCTCTCCACATGCTCCACCAGAGTCGTAACCGAAGAAAATGTTGCGTTGCACTGCGGACACCGCTCATCCTGCCTGCTCGCATTCCCGCTACTACCACCACTGCTCTGCCCTGTTCCATCCCTTACAGTCTGCAACTTTTGGCTGAACTCACTACTCAATTTCGCCATCCCAGCTTCAGCCGTGGCTCGAAAGCTTGAGGCTGCGCTGAGCAAGCTTGAAGACCATCTGGATGAGGATGTTGGTGGAGCCCGGCTCGGCTTTGGCTCTTCTTTTCTACTCAAAAAACTCAAAAACTGAAAGGCTGTTGCTTCGGGTTTCTTGGGTCCGGGACAGCTGTGGTCAGGTCCAAACCGATGCTTCAAGCAATGTTCGATAGTACAGTCCCGACACTTAATTGTGTTTGAGAATGTTAGGATCTCTCTGCAGCCACGGACAGGACATTTTCTTTTCTTGGTGGCTTTCTCGTAGTTTGATGGGTCACAATCAGTGTTAACATGCAATTCCCAAGAAATGTTTGGGTCTTGATCGGGCATCAAGCGAACTCCTTTTGCACAGAGTGGGCAGATAACAACGGTAACATCATTTTTGTTGCCATTTGGACATTGGTGTTTAACATAGCTCCGGTGCTCTAAACAGAATACCTGTGAGAGATTTGGAAATCGTCGTCAGCAAAATGGAGAATAAGAAAGTTCCAATAGAAAATCAACAGAATAATTTGCGGTGAGCAGGTGAAAGAAAGATGACAAATCCGTGATGGAGGAGTTCAAAAGTAGAAAACATTGAAATCCATGAAATCAATGTAGTATAAAAGCTCTCAACAAGCACAAACACATACACGATGCGGACATGCATAAAAATTTTCAAACAATACAAGACATGACACGTGAAAAACACGTGCAAAACATATAATTTTACATAGGGCAAACTTCACTTTACCCCCTGTGATTTGGGCCGGGTGCAGATTACCTCCGACATTCGAAAATCACCATATAACCCCCACGTGATTTATGAACCAAAATGCACCATTAGTTTTTCTATTTAAGATAACGGGTTGTGGGAGTCACACACCTATATAGAGAGTATGTCTACTTTTAGGACGAAAATGCCCTTTATACATCTTCAAATTTACCAAAGAATGCCATTGTTGAACTCTCTCTTCCTTCACCCTCATCTTCATCTTCTTCTTCTATCTCTCTCTTTTTATTTATTTATTTATTTTTTATAATATTTCCCAATCAAAGATATATATATATATATATGTATGTATGTATACAGTGAACTCTCTCTTCCTTTACCCTCATCTTCATCTTCTTCTTCTTCTTCTTCTTCTCTCTCTCTCTCTCTCTCTCTCTCTCTCTCTCTTCTTTTTTTTTTAATGTTTCCCAATCAAAGATATATATATATATATGTATGTATATACACAATGAAGAATATATATATATATATATGTACAGTGAATCAAAGAATATAATTTTAAATTTCTGATTCAAAATTGGGTTTGAATAATTTTAGCAAATTGTGATTGTTTTGTCTGGGAAGAATAACCCTCCATTCCAACCAAATCAGTACCTTCGCATCGCATCGCATCGCCCACCACCACATCATCACCACCATACCATATTTTGTTACAACTATTCTTGCATTCATGGGTGGGGGAACACATTCACCACCCTGCTTCTTTTCCTTTTTCTTTTCCCCTCACCTTTTTTTTTGTTTCTCTTTTGTGAGAAGGTTAGATGGCTTGGTTTTTTTCCGTTTTTATATAAATGACCAAGCTCATAATGGGGTGATTTATTTGCTGCCATATGCTCCATCCCTCTTGGAGTCCTTGTATTGTATATGCTTTTTACTTTCAAAGGAACAAGATGAATTCAAACAAGAAAGGTTTCACAACTATCTTTGTTGTTGTTGCAGAGGTCTGATGATGTTTATCACACCGTAATTCAGATTTTGAGTTTGTTAGCTACTCCGGCACTAGCCTGAATCTTTGCTGGTTCAGGTCCGGCTTCGATTTTTGGTTTATGTGTTCTGAGTGTGGAATCAGCAGTGTTTTTTACTTTCTATCGCCGTCGTTTGGGTTGTGTGTTTCTGTGTGCAACTTTTGTATCAGAGTGCTGCAAAAGTGTTGGGCATCGCTGGCGGATCCATGTCTTCGAGTTAGCCGGCATTGTCACCAGAATATGGGAGATGGTAGCTTCATGTCGAGGTGTGATACATGGCGTGTGGGTCAACTTTTGGGTATGATGAAGAAAAAGTTTGGATAGTAAAATGTGGGTTTGATATGTATATATGTATAAAACGTGGGTATGGAGGAAGAAGAAGAGAAGGAAGAGGGGGAGAGAGGGAGAGAGAAGAAGGATATAATTGTCAATTTATAACTTTTGTTAACAGAAGTTAGTGTGCATTTTGGTCCATAAACCACGTGGGGATTATGTGGGGATTTTCGAATATCAGGCGATAAACCGCACCCGGCCCAAACCACGGGGGTTAAAGTGAAGTTTGCCCTTTCACATATTTATTTTATGTCAAATGTTTATTCTCATCAAATTCATCAACCCTGAATATAATGCTTCAGTGAAAAATAAAACGGATATCCCTAACATGTCCCAAGTGTGTCCGAGTGAAAAAAAAAGAAGAAAAATATGACATTTCCTCTACTGTGTCCGACACATGTCTGGACATGTGTCCGACACCAATATGTGACCTCCGGAGAGGTGTTTGTGCTTCATAGGCTATACCATGCAAAAAGTGAAAAGTTATATCCTCAAATGGCACACATAACAAGACTAACATCCTAAAGTTGGTAAAACATCAATAACTATTGAACGCAGATAATGCAAAGAAAAATTGATAATAGCACACATTGACAATAGCTTGTCAAAACATCATCCTAACGTTGGCAAAACATCATCAAATGGCACACATTGATAATAGTCTGTCAATGTGAAGCATTTGCACTATAAAAATATTAACCATTTTTACCCACAAAAAAAAATAAATATGAATCCATAGATGTGCCATGTCAAATGAAAACGCCGAAACTAAAGAAGGCACTAACCATCCATTTGGTATAATATTAACAGTTGCGAAAATAAATGACTATGGTTTCTCATTTGGGTGAGAAAAGAAAATAAATAATTGTGTTTTCTCACGATCATGTTTGGATGAGTAGAAAACAAACCAAGTGAAAGAAGGTTTTAACTTATAAGTGAGATTTCTTTTTCTTTCTCTTGTATTTTAATGGGCAATCTCGGTATTATAAAAAAAATATAGCCAATCAGTTTGCTCCCCACCCATTTTCATCACTTTTGGTAATAAATGAAATTAACAAAATAATAGACTTATCTTTCTCACTATTTCTCACCCAATTTATAAACCAAACATGAGATAGAGTCATCTTACTCTTCATTTCTTATCATTTCTCATCAAATCACCAAATCCAAACAGGCTTTAAAGACCTGGAAAAAAAAAGGTTTGTTGTTCTTCATGCTCTAAACACTTCATTTGTAACCAGTTTTTGTTAACTGTTTGTTTTTCTTTCCCCTTCCTAAGACATTCTCTGGTAAGATATTTAGCCTACAAGTTATTGAAAATGACTGCTTGTAACAAAATAACTGTTTGTTTTTCCCCTTCACAAGTGGCCTCGTTTGGTCTGCAACACTTGTACTCTAAGGCCATGTTTGTTTGGGCGGACTGGATTAGCATTCCCATGACTAATAGTCCTAGGATTACGAATTCGTTGGATTATGTATCCTATCTTAACTAATAGTTAAGTTTAAAATAATTAGTCCGTACTTCAATTGTTTAACCAAACATCAGATTAATAATTTTATTGGACTATTAGTCCAATCCCAAGCTCATGTCTACCCAAACAAACATGGCTTAAAAGTTAAATAGTTACTTAAAAAAATAAAAAAAAACCTATAAATTATAGGGCAAATTACATATACACCTTCAAGATTTAGCTGAATTACAAATCCCCTGAGGTTTTAGAAATTACATCTCGCCCCTTAAGGTTTATATTTTCATAACAAATTGCTGCATGAACTTTATTTTTATACAAATTGCCCCCTAATTTGTTATGCAAATATAACCTTCAGGAAAATTTGTAATTTCTCAAACCTCAAGGGATATCTGTAATTTAGCTAAACCTCGAGAGAGGTATGTGTAATTTGTCCTAAATTATACCAAAAAATCAAAAATTCTCTTTTCTCTTAACTTTTTGCACATCTTTTCAAAACAAATCAAAAGTTATTCCAAAAGTACTAAATTTTTTTTTTCATAATATTTTAGCCAAAAAAAAAAAAAATCAAAAGCTTACTAAAATAGTCAGTTTATTATTCAAAGCCATCAAGAAAGTTCAAGAACAAGGACTCGTAAACACATGATATACCAAGCTTCTTCCTCTCACCCCAAATTTCCTCATGAAAAATTCAGTGGTTTGATCAAATTGCAAGCCTCTCATAATTTCTCCTATTGTTTTGTTCCATTGTTTGCCTTTACACACAAACATGAAAATCTTTTCTTTTCTTTTCTTTTCATTACAGACAGGATTAAACAAAACCCAATAACCAGATCAACAAAAAATTCAAGATTTCAATCATATTTTCAATTAAAACCATGTCAAATGCAATCAACTATTAGAATTTGAGAGAGAGAGGGGGAAAAAAAAGTTTTAGAGAGAGAAAAGGAAGGGGGACCTGGTGGCAGCAATCGCAGGTGAAGGGCAAGAAATCAATCTGCTTGCAATCTTCGACGGTGCAATGCTTTCCCAGATTTGGAAATGCCGGAGTTCCCATCGGAAAACAACAAATCAGAAACGATTCAAAGAAGCAAAAAAATGTGAAATTTGGATTTGGATTTCTCTGGATTTGTGCCTTGAAATTTGGAATTCGGTGATGTGTCTGAACAATTGAATCTTTCGAATTCCGCGTTGAAATTTCCGCGGAATCGAAATCGACAAGGAAGAGAGAGTCGTGCCAAGTCGCTCTCGATTCTTCTGGGAAAATATATTTATGTATTGAATGGTACAACAAAAATGTGGAGCTCTGTATTTGTTTCTCTCTTGGGCTTTTGGGCTGGACACTTAAGCCCAATGTGAAATATATTCTAAGGATTTGCCCTGTCAATGGAGCCTGATAAGCCCGAAGCTGACACATTGTTTGGGCCACGGTTGAATTTGGTGACACAGTTAAGTCCGAACTCACATTCGAACTGAGCTAGTGCCACTTAAAAGTGTTAAGAATTTATAATTAAGATCATTAAATTCGCTCACAGTAATACAATAAGAAAATTTATGGTTGAGATTGCACCAAATCAGAATTTAACACTTATGATACAACATCATTATGGTTCAAATTGTTTAAGTTATTCTAAGAGTCAAATAATAGTTTGAATCTTAAATTTTAAAAAAAAATTGCAAGACGATAGAAGAAGGAAGGAAAAAAATTTCTTTTTTTTGTTGTGTGTATGTGTTTACATCGTATTCATTTTTTCTTTTCTTCTTCCCTCTACAAATCTATTCATAAATCCAAAACCTAAATACAATTTAAGTGATGTTTAGATTTTATGGACTTAAAATTTGTTACTATTCTGAAAAGAAAGTACTTCAGATCTCTAAAATTTTACCCCTAAAATTTATCATATGATGATATGAATTGCTGCTTCTCTGTTATAGATTGGTTTAGGTTTAAGAATTTACCACCTAATAAGATCCAACACCCATATCAAATCAATGTAGATATGAGAGCTAGACTTGGAATAAAATTATATAGAAACTAGCAAGGACACACTACAATTTTCTGCTTGAATACACTTAACAAGGACACGTACTATAATTTTCTGCTCTAATACACTGCTTCGATACTCCAGTTGGTCGCTACTCTACTTCAATACTGCACCTTGCTCGTGTGCACTACTAGCTACTCTCTAGTTCAATTCATTACAACATTCGGATAAACGTGCCTTAGCAGGTAAGGCCGGTGTCTGGAGAGATGTGGAACCATGCAACCGAGATATCCAGATTCGAAACCCAATTCAAAACCCATTTCGAATAACATGGCACCACTCCCTGCCTGCAAAAGTGGAGGCAGAGATGGCCTCACCAAGGCCTGGACACCTGAAATACAAGATAAAATATGTACATATTATAACCCACCAGATTATTATGTATTGGAAGAGAGGTGGGAGGCTAGAGCAGGGCCACACCATGTGATGCTGGTGCATTGCCATTGTCATGGGGTGAAAGGACGCAGGCGATATTGAAAAATTTATAACTAGCTGCAACCAATCTAAACATTGTACCACCAAACTCGTAGGTAACAAACTTCCCACCACTGAACCACCAAATACTAGAGCTTCTTCACAACTATTCCCGTTCAATAAAGAAAAGTCTAGCAAGCATAATGCAATTTAATTCAAAATTTAAGTAGCCGTCCAAACACATCCAAAATTGAAATTAAACATCCCTCAAAAGAAAAAAAAAGGATAACATTTCAACAAGTAATAACATATATAAAAAGTCCTAAGGAATCATTCTTAGACCCAACGACCTGATCAAGCATCTACCCTCTCTGGAACATCTTCCACATAAGTCAACTTCGAGGTGGGCTTTGCCAACAGGTCTGTGTACTCTTGGTATGGAGATTTTGAGAAGCGGGTCTCCTTCCAGAAGTCTGGGGTCAGGAACCCATAAGTCTTCAGCAGACAATCAAAAGTTGCCTGCAAATAGCAAATGCATTGTAAGCCCCCAAGCAAATTTCCAAGAACAAAATTATAACCGAGCTGCCACTAATATGAAATTAACAGCGCAATTTCCTCATAATAGATAAATTCCTGACTATAATCAGTCTCCACAGCACAATTGTCAGATCAGCACAACAAAAAGGGGAGCTATACTTCCCTGAAACTATTGAATTGATAAAGAACAAGGTACCTAACATAAAAATTCACAAAGCATATCAAACCTCACATATAACGTTTGGCAAGAAGGGTTTGGCGCTTTTTTTGACTAAAATAGCCACAAAAAAAACAAAATAAACTTTTTAACCCAATAAAACAAAACATCACATCCAACCTATAATTATTAGGTTCTCTCTCACAAAAAAGTCAAAAAAGAAAAAAACCAAAAGCCAAGCTTTTTAGCTCCAGACAAAAATAGCCAAAAAATCAAAAAGTCAACCGACTTCCCAAACAAAGATTTAAAGAAATATCAACATAATTGGCTCATAGAAATCACGCAAGTTAGAGCATCTCCAACGGTAATAGGCATTTTACCTATCTAAATATTACTATAAAGTATATATTTTATTTTGCCTATCAACTATTTCATGTTTCTACTCCAACCATGCTCTTTATTTTAGCTATTCATCTAAATACTATTAATTTTATAAAATGCCACATCAGCAACAAAGATGGAGGGAAATGATCCTAATGATTAAATATATTTTGCCTAGTCTTGAAGGCTAGCTACATGTAGCTAGTGAATGTGAGTTGAGCTAAAATACCTAATCATATGCCTAGTGCATTGGAGTTGAAAAAAATGAGTTATACTAGGCATTTTGACTAACAAGCATGATATGCCTAGTGGGTTGGAGATGCTCTTACAAACTAGAAAATCTAAATCTAAAAAAATATTAAAGACAAAAACAACAGCCACAAAATTCACATCATCACATCTAAAAACAGAAACTGCAAGAAACAACTTCGACATTTCACAAGTCAAACACACTTGAGCCGTCTTTGGACACAGGCCCAGACACACTTCTTGTCATGAGCAGTAAAAAGAGTCACAAATTCATAATTACCATTATGTCAACATATTATCAGGGATAATCATCACTATGTATAAGTTGCATTATCACAATCATCACTATCCATTAATAATAACAAACCATTAAAAAATATTCTATAACATGTTAAAAGTTCTAAGAATACAACAAAATCATCTACCATTAGTTCTAACTACATTTTCATGGACAAACTCAATAAACAATTAGCTTATAGTACATAAGTTAGACCGCTTATAATACAATGAAGCATTTACAACATTACAATCCAATCCAATCCAATCCAATCCATTTACCAATTCCACACAATCTAATACCCCTCATCACAAACCAATGTCAATTTATGAATACTTTTCCATATCATTTCCAATTCCACTTCTTTCCAAAAATATTTTTCGCACAAAACCATTTCATTCCCCCTACATACACTAATTCAATATACATAGAATCGTATACTGAGAAGCACAAAATGCACACAGATAAATACATAAAATACACAATCATACAAATCTGTGACTACAATTATGTCAAAATCAAAAAAATAAATCAGACCCAGTTCAAATCAGATATAGTGCTCAACAACCATAAACAAAATCAGTTCATGTTAAAGATCAAACCTTGACGAAATTTCCAAGTGTTTTCGTCGACCCACGAGAAGAAGTGAACACATCATCAATCCCAGCAAACTGCAGCACTTTCTTTGGAACCCTAGCCGCCACGATCCCCGCACCACGAGGCGCCGGAACCATCCTCACCGTCACAGACCCACACTTTCCGGTGACCTTACACGGCACCGTATGAGGCTTCCCAATCTTGTTCCCCCAATACCCTCTCCTCACCGGAATCACAGACAACTTCGCGAGTATAATCGCACCACGAATCGCAGTCGCAACTTCCTTGCTACACTTCACACCAAGCCCTACGTGACCGTTCGAGTCACCAACAACAACAAAGGCCTTGAACCGGGTTCGCTGACCGGCCCGAGTCTGCTTCTGAACCGGCATAATCTTCATGACCTCGTCTTTCAATGAAGGACCAACCAAGGTATCGATGATCTGGTGCTCTTTGATTGGGAGAGAATGAAGGTAGATCTGCTCGAGGCTTCGGATCTTGCCGTCTTTCACCAATCGGCCGAGCTTGGTCACCGGAACCCATTTCTCCTCCTCCTCACGGCGGGGCCCGCGGCGGCGACCTCTTCCGCGGTCGCCGCCTCTGCCGCGATCGCCGCGGCCGCCGAAGCCTCGCCCGAAACCGCCGCGTTCTCCGCCTCTCTCAGCCATGGTTGGTAGCTAGGGTTTGGAGGATATAGATACAGATATGTAGAGAGAGAAATGAGAGAGATGGGGAGATTTGAAGAATGAACCCTAGCTTTAGAGGCGATGATTTTATATGTGGAGAAAGTAGGGTTTCTGAGTGAGTTTTGGGGGTGTTTGGCTTCGAGGATGTGAAGAGGCTATGTTTGGTTTTGATTTAGTTCTGTTCGGGATTGAGTTTATCCGCGTTAGAGTTTTAACCGTTGTATAGCACAAACTAGAACTATGGCCACATGTACAGTTTTTATTCAAAGTTAACAAGTTATTATAAATTGTTATATTATTTTTTTAATTTTTTTTTACATATCTTTTGAAAAGGAAAAAAAAAAAAACTAAAATAACTAATTCACAATACATTGTCATATTTGATTCTCAAATGTGATTTTTTATGAAATGTGAAAATAAGTAATACTTAAAATACATGGATGAGATTAAGAATACATATCATATATTAGATGCAATTATTAATAAGAATTGTTAAGATTAATAAAACATATTGTTTACCAGATGAGATTGTTTATAAGATTTTTTGGGATAAATTCTTAGAATATTGGTCAATAACCATCGAAGTATCACTTTAAATTAACTTTCTTTATCCTCAAAATCATAAAATCTATTTGGATGAATTTTTAGAATGTATTTTCTAAAGAATAAAAAATTATTTTGGGAAATTTTTTTAAAATATATTTATTATTTTCATATGATTTTTTTTTTTTTTTTTAAACAAATATATTTTTTAGTGTTTATTTTTATCAATTTAATTTTTAATTTTAAAAAAAAAATCTAAAAAATATGACTACTTGGACCAGATGATTTACCAATGATGCACGACCATATGGCCTTTTGCTCGTCATAGTTATGGGTGAGAAACACAGCTAATGGGCCCAATTGGACCAAGCCTAATCCATCGTAATATGGACCTATAGCTCATTATAGGCCGAATCAAGACAAGTCCATAACTAATTGAACAGGAACTGCTTTGTTGGAGCCCAGCCCAAAGAACTCGACCCAAACATAACTCAAATTTATGTGATGATGGATTTGGACTAATCTCCCAATGTAGGTAAAGAGGCCCTCTTTTCTTTGACTTTTTCCAACCACATTGTCAAATCAATTAGTGGATCAAGATTTGAGCCAGTCAGTGGACTCATCCAAAAAGCCCAGTAAAAAGGTGGTTGACTCTGTTGTATGGTCAGGCCTTTTACAATTCATTTGCTTGGACTCAGTTTGTAGGCCCAAAAAACTAGATGCTTGTATCAAAATGACATTTAACAGTGAAAAATATTTTTTAATTTTTAAAAATTATTTCTGTTCGAAAAAATATTGTATTTTTTATACGAAATTAATTTAAGTTTTTTTTATAGACAAATTTTGAAAACTAGTGCTTTGAAAGAATATTAAAGCTGAGTATGTCAACCAATGGAACTTAAAAAAAAATATTTACTTTTTGGGTTTTTAAACTAACAGTCCCTAAAAATTTAAATAATTAAAAATATATATATAATAAGACAAAATTCAAAAAAAAAATCTGAATTACAAGCCAATGGTAAAGATGTAAGAGCATCTTTACCAGCTTACTTAAATTTTATCTTAAAATATTATTAAAAAATTTATTTCTTATTTTAAGAATCACTTTTTCATCTATCTTTTCTAACAAATTCCTTATTCTTTCTCTATTCTATTAAAATAATCTTTTTAATTATTTTTAAATTTAATATTTTTTAATAAAATAATTAAACAATATAAAATAAAGTCAACAATGGACTCAAAAGGCAACTTCATTTGCTGCTATGAAGAAAGCAGCAAAAGTAGAAACCAAGGACCGGACGTCCAGATGGACGACCGGCGAAGTAATTTTTGCACAGATTATTTCATCTGGGACATTCGGGTGGACAATCATAGTCAGATATAAGGAAGTTACAGTAACTCCCTACAAATAAGGAGTGACTGTAGCAATCATAAATTTAAAGGATTGTATAAGAGATCTGATGGGAAGGATTTTTGAAGAATCAATCCCTTATAATAGTAATCTGATAGAGATGCTTTTAGACTTATACATCATTGAGTTTATAAAGTAAGTTTACAAAGTGAGCTTGTATATCTTTTTTTTTATTATTTGCCAATAATGCCCTCAATGTTTGATGTTTGAATACAGTGAGATGTTTTGAACAATTAACCTAGCTAAGCCCTCAAACGTCATGTGTGACTTGAAATTTTAAATGTAAAATCAAAGTTCGCATCTAAATATAAAAATATATATATATATATTTTTTTTTTAAAAAAAATTATTAAATTTTTTTTTTTTATTAAAACAAACAAAGTGTTAAAAGTAAGTATTAAATTTTGAATGTATATATGTGCCATCCCTATGTGTATACCACGCATGTTGTTTGGGCAGGCTGTTGCTCAGGACTCGGAAGTGTCACTATAGAGAATCCTCATGTTAAATTCACTCCAATCACTTGTTCTCTTAATCCATCAGAGTTACTTTAGATCTTGACAAAATAGCCAACTGGCCTCACCCCACACACACACAGTGACCTGAAAGGTGCTCACTCATCCCCAAGAGACAAGTAAAATAGCAAATCAATAGTGACAAACAGGGGGGGTTCACATGTAGAACAAAAACATGTGAATGTGATATCACTAAGGACACATTTGGGAAAAGAGAGAGAGAGAGAGGGAGAGAAATCAGCAGATTTCACTTTGGGAGTCTCAATTTTAAAAAACTCACCACTGACATGGCTAGAAGTACCTTTCCAACTTTGTTTATCGCATTATTAAAAGTTTCACATTGGTTAATATAATTAATTTTTTGTGTAGAAATTTTTTTAATTTTGTTTAGTTTAGATTTTTTAATTTTTTGATTTTTATAAAAAGAAAATATAATAATTATAAATTAAATGTGATATTTTTTTTACTTTTATAAACAAACAATATAATGATTATAAATTAGATGTGATATTTTATCTTATTAACTTATTTAATCTATTTTATTATTTCATACTTTTTTAATCCTAAAATGATTGCCAAACCAAGACTAAGGGTTTCAAAGACTTTTTTGACCTTCAATCAAACTTTTTTTTTTTTTTTGCACACAAAAAGATAGATAAATAATATATATACTTTACGTAATTTATAAGAAGAATAATATAATAGTAATATTATTGAAATTATATGTTATTTTTATAATTTTTATTTTAAAGTAATAAAATCAAAATTTATCATATGATTCTGTATAAATTTTATATTTATATAAAACACTGTTTAAAAAAATAACATCATAGCGAATGGAAAATTCAAAGTAAAAAGAAAAAGATAACAAGAGAAATAATAACGCAAAGAAGATCCAATGTCAAAGGGTAACAGGGCAAAAATGTTTTAAATATTCTTTTTCTTCTTTTCAGCTCTTTTTTTTAATTATTTTTATGGTAACTCTAATAACGTACTAAAACACAGTTTAAATAAAAGTAAAAGACATTTGTATTTAACTTAATTGCAAAATTCTCAACATTCTGTAAGGCACAAATTCACCATATATCCCAAAATGATTATTCTAATCTTCACACTACCTTTGGATCATATGGTAATAATGAATTTGAGTATCTACTACTTCTCATCTAACATATTATAACAACTATTAGGTTTCGTTTGTTTTCACAGATAAAATGAAGGGAATTGATAATGAAGGGATTGTTAATGAAAAGATTGATAATGAGAGAATTAGTAAAATTGTATTTGTTTTAATAATAGTTGTTAATGTAAAAATTGTTAAATTATTTTTATATAAAATAATAAAACAAATAAAATTATGATTTTTACTTAATAGAAAATACAAAAAACATTTAAAAAAAATGCCCATCAAGTAAAAAAAATAAAAAAATTAGTTGACCGGTTGATTGGCTGGACGTCCGGTAACTCCCAATCTGAACGGACTACCTTGTTAATACCATCTCTCACTCCGAATTGCTAATACCCTCGCCGAGGCCTACCCTAAGCTGAGGGGACTACGAATTCGAAGTCCAAAAATCAAAACAAACACTCACTAATTTTACTATTCATCACTAAAGTGGACTGCTGGTGAAAAAACAAATGGGACCATAAAACTAAATTATAGCAAAACTTCTCAAGAATTCCACACCAACAATATGATAAAGTTCATGTCAAATTATAGCATTATTAAACTTCGTATCAAATTGGCAATTGTTATGATTTGGTAATACTCTCTCTCTATCTTGCTCGTAGTAAGGCCAACAAAGAACATTTTTATTTGACAATTTGAAAAATAAAAATAAAAAATAGCATTTACATTATTAAAACAAGACTGTAAAATTATAATATTTGTAAATGTTGATCAACTAAACATTTCTCACTCTCTCTCTCTCTCTCTCACAGACACACATTAGGGTCTCTCATTTTCTTTCATTCCCATTTTCATCTCATTTTCTGCCTAATACCCCCATGTTTCTCTCCACAACATCATTTTCTTTCACTTTCTCATCCACTTTCTTTTCCTTCTCCCACCCTATAGTCCCTCTTCTCTCTCTCCTCCACTGACCTGCAAATCTTTTCTCCATATAGTCTCTCTACTTTCCCAAAAACGCCTCTCTCTCTCTCACTCAAGTTCATTTTTCTTGGTCATGGTTATGTTCACAAGTAGTACTGTGTGTGTGGTGGAGAAGTTGGACAACCAGCTACCACCACTAGTGGAGGCGCCACCACTGGTGGTGGTGGTGGAGCAGAGCCACTCGACTCACCGGTCAATCGAGACACTGGTAGTTGTGCTGGCAGTGATAACCATACTTGGTGTTATTGCTGGGATCATTGCCAGGCTATGCGGCGGAAGACATTTGGGCGGCACAGGAGAGCATGACATTGAAGGATGGGTGGAGAGAAAGTGCCGGAGCTGCATTGATGCCGGAGTACCGGCTGCTCCACCACCACCGCCGCCGCCGCCACCACCAGCACCAGCTGAAACAAAGGCTGCAGCCACAGAAGAAGCAAAGAAGTGAGAAGAGATAGAGACAGAGACTATAATTAACATGAGTTGATCATTACAGGTAAGTTAGGGGAACATTTGAGAGAGAGAGAGAGAGATTAAAAGAGATTTGAAGCATCATTTCCACCATTTGATTGTAATGAAGGGGGTGGAGTGGGGGAAGAGTAGTCTAGTAGTGACTTAATTAAGTAGAATCTGTAGCTTGCATGCTTTCCAAATCAGATGAGATCATTTTTTGTGCCCTTCATTTACTATTTATTTTATTTTATTTTTTATGAGGCATCTAGGGTTTCATCCAAACTAATTTCTGGGTATATGTAGTCTTTCCGTTCTATATATACTTAGGTAAAGTGATAAATGATATATTTAACCATTGATTTACTCTTAAGATTCGAACTTACGACATTCTCTGAGTTTCCTGTTTTAATAAGCTCTTTTTATCATTTTTTTGTTCCTTCAGAATGCAAGAGAAAATATTATCCTAAGTTTATTACATATATTTTAATTGTTTTTAGAGTTTGTGATGTGGCTCATCAAATAATAGATTCATTTTTCTACAAAATGTTAGGCTGCATACTACAAGAATAATAGTTATCTCAAAGAAGAGAAAAATTAAGGGCATGTTTGGGTCATAAATTTAGGTAAAAATTTGAAAAAGACAAAACAAAAGGTGAATGAAATGTGACTGAAATCTAAAGTCAAATTTTTTTTTTTTCTATTTTTTTTTCTTTCCAAATCTCTATCTAAATATAACATAAAAGACCTACAATTTATTAAAAACAACAATTCATTAACAATAACAACACAAGAGAATTCAGACATTACATGATTAAGGCCTCGTTTGTGAACCCTCTCTTTTAGCAAAAAAGTTAAAAAGTTACTAAATTAGTCAAAAAGCCAACAACCCATACAAAAAAGTCAAAGATTTTCTTTTCTCTCTATTTTTTGCACATCTTTTCGTAAAAAGCCAAAAAGCCATCCCAAACATACTGAGTTTGTTTGGTTTGTTTTTGGGAGATTTGTTTTTGAAAAAAAATTTGCGGAGAGAGTTTAGAAATTTTTTTGGTTTGTTTGGTTGTATATTTTGGAAGAGTTGTTTTTTTGGGAGTTTGGGATGATTTGATATTTTGGGAGAATTTGAGTAGATGTGTGTGAGGAAAAAGTGATTGATAAAAAGAGAGGAGAGAGAAAAAGTGATTAATTGATGTGTAAGTGAGAGAAAGTGATTTTGAAATTTTTTTGAGAAAAACTCAAACCAAACAATTTTTTAGAATTTTTTTTCTAAAACTCATCTCCCAAATGCAAACCAAATATACCCACTAGTTTTTTTTAGCTCATATTTTAGTTAAATAGTCAAAAAATTACTAAATTAGTCTGTATCCGAACGAGTTCCAAGTTAGTTTTGTAACAAATAAAAAATTAACCTGTAACTTGTGATGTGATTATAGGTTAACTAGGGTAAGTTTTTTTGGAGTCTCAATCAAAAATTGTTATGATTATAATAAGGGTTAATAATTAAGAAATTTTTATCTTGATTAATCAAAAAAGGGAACTCATTTTTTCAACTAAAATTTGGAAAACAATTAAAACAAGCGCCCAGAATTTGTACCGTAAATTTTGGCAAGATATGTGGTCCAAATTCAACTTTTGTACGGAGAGACCTATATGTCTAGAATGAATATAAATGACATCTTTTTTTAATTCCGGGTAAAAATTATGTGTATAATAATTTTTTTTTTCTTTTGTTTTTTCTGAGAATCAAAAGGAGCATTTTAGTGGGTTACAGAAGGCCCTCCCTCCCTCCCTCCAGAGCAAATTAAATGTTGACATGATTGCAACAGATTTTGAGAGGGCTTTTCCTTTATTTTTTTTTGTCATGTCCTTTGCTTTGTTGTGTTATTCTCTTTATATGTTACTGATTCACTATTATTAAAGCAAAACACTACTAGCCGTTGCTAATGCTTTTTAAAGTACTGAAAAAAAAAGAAAAAAAAGAACATCGAATTGAAAGGGCATTATGATCTGCTGCTACACACACTACTACTAGTACTACTAACTACTTTGTGACTTTGATCCCCCAAACAAAAGTTTATTCTACCCAACAAATGTTTAAAAAAAGTGTATACAACCACCACCACCAAAATCAATCCAAACCATACCCAGTCTCTCTCGACCTTCTCTCTCTATGCTTTGCACACTCTTCCAAAAGTTTTAGTCCCTCGTTGACAACTGACACTCACTTTAAGACTCAGTAGGCCCTCCAAAACTTGTATAGGAGGGGAAACATCCGCTCACAGATAGGGATGGCAATTTAAACCCGGTCTGACGGGGACTCGCCTCCCCGATCTTGATTCGAGCGATTTTTTCCCGAAAAATATCTCCGACGGGCCAGGGATGGTATTTAAAAATGAATCCCCGATCACTTTCGGGCCGGGGACGGTGATATGTTTTCCAGTCCCGTCCCCGGCCCCGACCCCCGGCCCGACCCCCCGCCCCGCTTCTCCCCGAAATAAAATTACTACTTTACCCCGTGTATATATATGTATGCGTGTCTTTATCTTGGGAGAGCCACAACCACTTGGTTGCTGAGTGAGAAAAATAGAGTGAGAGGGAGCTGAGAGAGAAAAATGGAGTGAGAGGGAGGGAAGGAGGGAGAAAGAGAGAGCCGATCTCCTCCGACGAGAGAAGAAAGTCGTCCTCTTGACAACGCCGATCTCCGATCTACCTACTCCTTCGCTGATCTCCTCATCCGCCCTCCTTCAATGATCTCATCCGCCGCCCTCCTCCGCCGATCTCTTCTTCACAGTGTCGCCGATCTCTATCATCCTCTCTTTCTGTGTTATATACGCATTATATATGTATACATATTATAGATTGAAGCTTAGATGCTGATCTATATCTCCCTCTCCTTCTGTGTTATACACACATATATATGTACACATATTATAGATCTGTTGGTTTTTTTTTCTCTGTTCTGTTCTTTTTTCTTTTTTTTTTTATGTTGTTGATGATGATACATGATGATGATGATGATCTATTGGTGTTCATCTCTCTGTTTGTATGTTGATCTTATTTTTTTTGATCCTCCAGCTTCAAAGCAGTTTTTCAAAAAAAAAAGCTCGGGGGTTGTTCGGGGTCGGGGAAACCCGATCCCCGTTAGGGGGCGGGGGCGGGAGTGGATATAGGTTCCCCTTAGATGCTGATCTATATCGCCCTCTCTTTCTGTGTTATACACACATATATATGTATACATATTATAGATCTGTTGGTTTTTTTTTCTCTGTTCTGTTCTTTTTTTTTTTTTTTTTTTTGTTGATGATGATACATGATGATGATGATGATCTATTGGTGTTCATCTCTCTGTTTGTATGTTGATCTTATTTTTTTTGATCCTCCAGCTTCAAAGCAGTTTTTCAAAAAAAAAAGCTCGGGGGTTGTTCGGGGTCGGGGAAACCCGATCCCCGTTAGGGGGCGGGGGCGGGAGTGGATATAGGTTCCCCGTCGGGGATCGGGGCCGGAGACGGGGGGATTTCCACCATCGGGGATCGGGGACGGGGAGTGGGATCCCCGGCCCCGCCCCGCCCCGTTGCCATTCCTACTCACAGACTCAGAAAATTAAATTAAGAAAAGTATTTATTAATTATAATATTAAAATTTTTTATAAAAATATTTCACTTAAGTTTTTATAATTGATTTCAAGAAATATCAAAAAAATAACAGGCCCATTTTGTAGCTCGAATTTCATTTAGCTCAAGTGCCCCAACTGCCTAAAACGAGTCATTTTGGACAAATTTTTTTTTTTTTTTCAACTCTCTTGCAGATAAAGAAGAAGAAGAAGAAAAAGAAGAGAAGGAGGAGGAAGGAGGAGAGAAGAAGAGCTGAGAGCATATCATCATCATCATCAACAACAACAGCAAGAAGAAGCAGAACAGAGAGAGGGAGAGATAGATCAACACATCATCATCATCTTCATTAGTACAGCAACATCAAATTTTAGTGGGAATGCTCTTCATCAAAACCACTCATGCAAATGGTGTCATCAACAATAAATTTTTTATCATCCATCAACAACACATTTATCACCCACATCTAGACCCAATTGATCTATTGCTAACCATTTTCATCAAAACATGCTCTTTCTACTAGGGATGGCAATGGGGGTTAATGGGGTGGATATTAATTCTCTATCCTCATTCCCCTATAATAAATTTTCCCCATTCCTCATTCCCCCATGGGTACCACTCTCTTTCCATTTTTTAATGGGTTTGAATTTTCCCCAACCCACTTTAATCCCCATTTTTATTTTTTATATTTAATGTTAACAACCACTTTTTTATTTTATTTTATTTTATTTATTTATTTTTTTTAGGTTCACAACAAAAGCTAAATATACCTTCAATCTTTTTTCTTTCTTTTTAAATATATTTAATGTTAACAATTTTTTTTTTTTTTTTTTTTTTTTTTCTTTTTTTTTTCTTTTTTTTAAGGTTTTAGCTAAATATACCTTCAATCTTTTTTCTTTCTTTTTTAATATATTTAATGTTAACAACTTTTTTTTTTCTTTTTTTTTTCTTTTTTTTAAGGTTTTAGCTAAATATACCTTCAATCTTTTTTCTTTCTTTTTTAATATATTTAATGTTAACAACTTATTTTTTTTATTTTTTTTATTTTGTTTTAAGGTTGACAACAAAAGCTAAATAATTTATTAATATGTTTATTTTTTTTAAATTCAAATATCAAAAAAAGTCAAAATACGCATGACGCCTTCTAATGTAGTCTCTCTCTCTCTCTCTCCTATTCTTCCACCTCTGCCGGCCTCGTTCCACTCATGTTCTCTCTTTCTAATTTTTTATTTTTTATTTAAAAATTAAATTATTGATAGAAGAAAAAAAAATTGACTGAAACAATTTTAAGACCTCACTTTTTTTTTTTTTTTTTTTTTTTTTTTTGGGAGAATATCAAAAAAATCAAAAGTAAAAAATAATTACAAAATGATGAAAATAAAAGTGATTTATGCATTTAATTATGGCAGTGTTTGGAAATGAAATTTTTAGATCACTTTAGCCTCTTCAAGAAAAAAAATTCAAAATGTATTGTTGCTTACTTCCCACATGATACACAGTTGTAATGGACAAAGGGTAAAATGACGCTTTTGCCTTTTTAATTTTTGAGAAACTCACAACAACAACGATAATACACATAGGGGCATTTTGGTCATTTATTATCTCTACATTATTTCAAACACATTTTTCAATACATCAATCTAACAAAAAATCCAACCCATCTTCTTAAATGTAAAAACTAAAATAGTTTACTAAAATAGTCAAATAGGCAAAACCTCTAAAAAGAAAAAAGATTGAATGTATATTTAGCTTTTGTTGTGAATCTTAAAAATTAAAAAAAAATAAAAGAAAAAAGATTGAATGATAGTTTTTGTTGTGAACCTTAAAAATTAAAAAAAAATTAAAAAAAAAAACAAAAAAAAAAACAGGTCGGGGATTTTTCGGGGTCGGGGAAACCCGATCCCCGTTAGGGAGCGGGGGCGGGGGGGTTGATGGTGTCCCCGTCAGGGATCGGGGGCGGGGACGGGGATTTTCTGGTCTTCGGGGATCGGGGACGGGGAGGGTGATCCCCGGCCTCGCCCCGCCCCGTTGCCATTCCTACTCAAATATTGAATGTATATTTAGCTTTGGTTGTGGATCTAAAAAAAAAAAAGTTGGTTGTGAACTTGAAAAAATAAATAAATAAATAAAAGAAAAAAGATTGAATGTATATTTAGTTTTTGTTATGAATCCTTTAAAAAAAAAAAAAAAAAAAAACATATGGGGAAATTAGTAGGTATCCATCCCCAACCCATCACCTGTGGATATTTAAAGAATATCACTTATCCTACCCAATGGATAAGAAAAAAAGGGAAAAACCCATGTTTTTTGGTTGGGTCTCCATGAATACCCATAAGGTAGGTTATCCATCGCCATCCCTACTTTCTACAAATTCCCCCCATCATCTTCAAATCTAGATGTACTAGAAAAAAATAAAATAAAATAAAATAAATCAACATCTTCATCAACACATCACCATCATCATCATCATCATCATCATCAACACCATCATCTTCATCAACATCATTTTCAGATCCAGATTCACTAGGAAAAAAAAAAAGAAAAAGAGTTTTGATCAGAGTTTTGATCGGCGACCAGCGATCACCGCCAAACTTCCTCCTCCGCCATCACCGTCTCTATCTTTTCCCCTTCTCTCTTCCTCTTCTCTCCTCTCCTCTCTCTTGCCTCCTCTCCTCTCTCTTGCCTCCTCTCTTCCTCTTCTTTTCTTCTCCTCCTCTCTTCCTCTTTTCTCTTCCTCTCTCTTTTCTCTTTGTATTCGAAAAGCAAGAAAAAGAAGGGGAAAAAAAAAAATGGAAACCCAAAACGTCGTTTTGGATTTCGAGCCAATTCGAGCCACCGAATTTCGGACTACCAAGGATTATTCAAAAAATAATTTTATTTATAATTAGTATATCATGAACAATATAAAAAAATATGAATATAAGCCTTAAAATAAATTAAATAATGATAAATTATTTTTTTATACAAAATTTGTTTAAAAATTCAATATAATAGTAATATCACGTCATCATTAGTATGCAATATCACCAATTAATAGTAAATAAATACATAGAAAGTGAACCTCATATGTCAAATGTAACTAACAATCCAATAAATTTCATATCTTTATAGTGAGATTATTTATATTTGCATATCAATAAAAATGACATCACCGTTACATTTAAAATTTTCATAGATAATATGATTTATAATAGTCTCTTCATTTTCAATCAAAACAACTATTATTATTTTCATAATTTTTAAAATGTCATTGACATTTCACTCTAATAATATTTTTGTAATTCTTTTTATTTAAAATATTTTCATTATATTTGTAAAAAAAAAAAATATCACAAAATCCGGGAGGGGCATGTGACCCCCATGGGTCCGCCACTGGTAATCCCTACCATAATCCCATAAAAATAGATTCTACACAATGAGTTATTAGTGTCAACTTTGTGTTATATAAGCAATCTTGCTAAGTAGCTTGAATTCCTTAAGGCTTGAATAGCTTTAGGTGCCAAAACGACATTGTTTTGACACTTTTTTTTGTTTTTTTTCCTATTCTTTTCTTTTCTTCTTCCTCTGTGTTCAGATATGTTCTTCCTCTGTTTTTTTCCTTTTCTTCTTCCTTTGTGTTCAGATATGTTATTCCTCTATTTTTTTTTCTGTGCTTCTTCCATAACTCGGAATCAAAAAAAGAAATAGAGAGAGAGGAGAAAAAATAAAAAAAAATCAAACAAGAAAAAATAATAGAGGTGGAAGAAAGAAACATAAAGAAGAAGAGAGAACTAAGGAAGAAGGAGACAAAGAAGAAGAGAGAAGGAGACAAGGAGAGGAGGAAGAAGAACATATCTCTGTGTATAGACACATAGATCTATGCTGGTTAGATCTGTATATACACAGATCTACACACACACACACACACATATATATATATAAAAGAGAGAGAGAGAGAGAGCCCACCGCCGCAAACCCCTTTGGCGCTGCCATCACCGTCGCAATTCAGAAGAAAGAAGAAGAAGACCAAGGTAGAGGAGGAGAGATAGAGAAGAAAGAGAGAGAGAGAAAGAGAGAGAGAGAGGGGGAGGTCGGGCCATTCGAGCCCCATTTTTTTCGAACTACGAAGCTGCATTTGTTATATAAGTTCAACACTACTATTCATGCTATCTAGTTGTGTCATATTCGTGTTCGTATCAGAAATTTGACTAACCCGAATCTACTAATTTCCTGTACAATTCTAGTTTTGTTATCATATCATGTCTAAAATTCTCACCCCTACTTTTGAGGGAGGAATACACGGCCATACTGTATCCATTATACCAAATACTACCCTGCTAAGAGCATTAGCATCTGCCCCCTGCTGTTTGTGCTCTAGCCTATTGAAAAAATAAATAAATAAAATAATAATAATAATAATACAATTTAACAAGGTAACTTTAATTATATTGAGTCCAAAAAGTGCCAACCATCCATCATTTTTTGGGGGGACATGTTCCAAGCATTAGTTAGGGTCAATGTCTCTGGGATAACAAAACTATGGTTCAATCTTTATTTATTGTTATTGGGTAATTTCTTATTATCAAGGAATTGAATAAATTCATTTGCTTTCGGGCAGCAATATTTTTTCCCCCAATAATGTTCTCCTACGTGCAACCAAACATCAGAAAATGTTATTTACGCCAAGTTTGAGAAGTGTAAAAAACGTTAAAAAGTCAAAAAGTTACTCAAAAAGTTAAAAAGTTAACACTATTCACAAAAAAGCCAACAATTACGGCTGCACAACTCCCAATCCTAATTTTCCCCTACAAACCAATTTTTACAATTTTTTATTACACATTTTTTCATAAAAAGTCAAAAAATTAACCAAAACATCTATATTTTTTCCCTTAACTTTTTAGTCCAAAAAGACAAAAAGTACACTTATTTAGGACATCCCAAACAATCCCTTAGTTTTACACAGTAAAAGGTTTTTACATGAAAAATATTTTGCACTATAAAAAATTATATACCAACAAAGCCTAAAGTAAACCCATTTGGTACCGTTTTCATTTTATTTTTCATGTTTTCAGAAAACAAAACAATGAATAGTACAAACAACCAATGTTTTCATTTTTGAGAGAAATAGTTCTAGAAAATTCAGACAAAAATCTAAGAATGTTTCCTATTAAAGGATGTCTTCAAAAAGAATTTGCCAAGTAAGTTTTTTGAATCAGTTTCCCAAATTTCTATTTTCAAGAACAAAAAACAAGAAATGAAACCAATGCACCCAACCAGAGCATCTGGTGGAGAGACTGGCAAAAAATTGCTTTCGATTATAACAAAGAAAACAATTGCAAGTAAATTTGGCAGGTTAGAGCAAGCGAATTAGATACCTTCAGAATTTTCAACCAGAACTGCATTGCTATAATACATCACCAATTCTTCTTGTCAACTGGATCCCTGCACCATTCAGCTAGTCGAAGCTCAAAACTGAACAAAACATTCAAGGTAAGAAATGCTACATATGTGATGTGCCACAATGGGAAAAACAGCACCCAAATATTTTAACATCTTATAGAAACAGGTGAGTACAAAAACCAATACACGTGAAATTCAACTCGACAATCTACGTGTTGTTCCCTTGTGGTCATTGGTTTGTAACTATGTGATAAACTTTCTCCCATAGTTGAATGTCCAAGTTATCAAGATATTTGTAATTCATCCCCGTCCAATTGACAACTATTATAATAATAATTTATTTATTTATTTATTTATTTTAATTTAAAAAACCCACTATATTCAGCGGTCTATCCATCCCCATTTGTTTGTGAGCAGATCTTTCAAATCCCAAATCAAATGTCAATCACCCAAAATACAAATTCAGACCAGTATTGTTTTAAGCAAGTTGTGTGTTTTAACCCTAGTCCTTGATGCATTTAGCTAGCATACTCAACATGATTTGTGCATGAACCTTCTATATCAGGTAGTTACTATTCTTGATTGAAAAATCTAGCTACTGTACCTTCTCTTGATCTCATTCCAACGAAGTTAGAACTCCAGACACTTTCAGATTACTTCAAGATGTTCTCTCCTTTACATGAATCCGCTAGCCTCAATAATCTGCTTCCATGAATTGCCTTCACATATTAAAATTCTTCTACTGACCTTGCATAAAATAAATATTGAATCCCATAACAATATCTTCTGTAACAGAACCAGAAATACATCTTGCCTGAACAAACAGTACTACACTGTTCAACTGCAACATGCAACCAATATATCAGACTGAGTGCAACCAAAAACCACAACAATAAAACCATTCCTTTCAATCCCTTCCTCAATATTTTCTAGATCAAAAATTGGCACAGGAGGGTCGTCATGCTTGTCAGATTCCTGCTTATGAGGGTTCCATTTTGCTTGATTTGTGTGTACGGTGAGGCCAGCCTGTACAGATATGTTCTCAGGGTTCATGGGAAGCCATTAAGGAAACTGATCCAATAGCCATGAGGTTGTCACATCACACAAATTATTGATATCAACTCCAAGCTAATTCTATTGGTTTACATGAGAAATCAGTGTTGGAACTACATTGTGAGCATGCAGAGATGATGCCAAAATTATTTTTGAAAAATCTCACAGGTTTAGAAAATCTAATTCAATTGCTGAAGAATGTACATGACAAGCATCACTAGAAGTTGAATGCATTTTATCACGGGATGAATATCATACAACGGTATAAAATGTATACTATAGCACTTCATGAATTTTGCGGATCTTGCATTTGGTATTCTCTAGCTGAAAAGATAAATCCGATTTTTTCAAAAAACCTGCAATTTACAGCATGAAATGGCTCAAATCCACAAGCTTTGGCCTCCAAAGAAACCCTAAAAAAAAAAGAAGAAGAAATTAGGGTAGACATCTAATTTGAATTTTTTTCTCTCCAAAAACTTGCTAAATCCTCTATTACAGAAAATTTTATAATATCCTACCATACTTGGCTTGATTGGAATATAAGGTTTAGTTTGATTTGGTCTGATATTCTACCATACTAAATAATACTAACATGGAAACTACTGTGAGTCTGTGACCTAGAGAATACCCATACCCACCAAACAAATTCCATTACAAAGATTAGGAACTAAATAATACTGACATGAAACGCATAAGTAATACCCTAACACGGAAACTATAACCCTACCTGGTTCTACATTTAATTAAATAAATTAGAATCTAATCAAATTAACCACTAGTATCCAAACCAAAAATTGGTATTTGATTAACAATCTTAACTTCTTCTTTTTTGATTCATAAAATGGATATGCAGATAGGATACTCCAACATATCCGCCAGGGAGTATTGCCCCTTAACACCTACAACATATCTGCATGGAACCCCACCGAACCTACGTCGGGGCCAAAGCTTAGGCCCCCCGCGTGCTCCAGGTGCTAAGGAGTATGGTTAACCCCAACAAGGGGCTATGGAGACTCAAACCCAAGCCTTGAGCGTTGGATTCGAAGGTCTTATCCACTGAACCAACCCCTTGTTGGTGATTACCATTCTTAACTTCATCAAGGTAGTGTGTAACCTATGAGTCCCTGACAAACAACTCTAGTGTTTACTATAGAACACTGTGCTCGAGAATGTGCCTTGCTGCAAGAACTTCTTCAACTTAGTATACCCCAGCAAACCTATGTTACATGGAATCTTTTAAATGTATACTTGTGTTGAACATTCGACATTTGGGTGGGGTATGTGATATGTGCTTTTGAGGTTGAATTTTATAAAATTATAAGAAGATTGGTTATTGAGGGAAGATGATAACTCCAAAGTGGAGGATTTAATAGATGCATGTTTCATGTATGTGTTGAAATCCTGTATAAATAGAATCGTTTATTGAAGGATTTCAAATTTGAAATCCATCATTATAAATCTTCTCAAATCATTCTTCAGATCTAAATCCAAAATAGTACGTTGACTTACAGACTATAATCCTCAAATTATTGATGTCAAATCCATAAATCCAAAGGGAGCCCAAGGAATTTCTTGGAAACTATTTGCAGATTTAGAAACCTTTGTGAAAACATATAATTTAAACTGAATCATAACTTTTTAATAAATGGTAAAAACTCAAAGATTTAAAAACCATGAAGTATTGAATTATGTTCGCAATAATTTTTTGGGGCTTTTAACCAGAAGTCCAATAACTTACATAATAGTAGGTCCCATTCATTTTTTATTAATCCAAAAAATTCTATGCCATAACAAATGACCAAAAAACGGCAAACAAAGATTGTGCTAATTATAGGTTTAAAATCAAAATAGTCATATTTCAAAATCTCAAAATAGTGAAATTTCACAACATATCAAAAGCTATAAAATCTCAAAATAAAGAAATAAAATCATAAACCAACACCAAAAATACAACAAAATATTTTCCCAAATACATAAAACGGAGAAAAAAAACTTGCAAAACGATCATATTTCAAAGCCTCAAAATAAGATTTCAAAGGACAGATAAACGCATAAATCAACACCATAAACTATGCAATTTCTAAAAACTCAAACAAAATAGGCAATTCTGTAAGAAAATATATTTCCAAATACATAAAACAGAGAGAAAAACTTGCAAAACAATCATATTTGGTTCTAGTTTTCAAAAAATTCTACTTTTTTATTTATTTTCCGTATTTTAATGTTTTCAATGAATTCTTTTAATATTTTAAGCAACTCTTTTTTTAATTTTTAGACACATCTAACATAAATACACTTAAAAAGTATAATATTTGTGAAAAAAATCTTTAAAATACACTAAATAGCAAAAAATACAAAAAAAATATGTGAAAAAAATCTTTAAAATACACTAAATAGCAAAAAATACAAAAAAAATATGAAAATTCAATACATTTTTTGTATTTTTGTATATTTATTAATCTTTAAAAGTAAGATGCATCTAAAAAAGTAAAAAAAAAATTACTTAAAATTTAAAAAATATTCACTAAAAATAAAAAAAATACGAAAAATAAAAAACTAAATTTTCAAAAAACTGAAACCAAACACACTGATTATTTCTAAAAACTCAAACAAAATATATTTACAAATACATAAAATGGAGAGAAAACTTGCAAAATAGTCATATTTCAAAATCTCAAAATGGTGAATTATCGAAACTATAAAATTTCAAAAGACAAATAAAAGCATAAATCAATGCTAGAAACCATGCAACTTCTAATAACTCAAAACAAAAAAAGCCTTTCACTTCCAAAACAAAATATTTCCAAATACAAAATACGCTTTCAAAATAATCATAAACAACATAAGTATTTTTAGAACAAAATATATTTTCCAAACACATAAAAACTTGCAAAACAGCCATGTTTCAAAATATCAAAATAGTGAAATTTCAAAACTATAAAATTCAAAAAACTAGGCAATTTCTAAAAACTCAAAACAAAATAGGCATTTCATTTCTAAAACAATATTTTTTCAAATATATAAAATGGAGAGAAAACTTGCAAAACAGTCATATTTTAAAATCTCAAATAGTGAATTATCGAAATTATAAATTTTCAAAAGACAAATAAAAGCATAAATCAACACCAGAAACCATGCAATTTCTAAAAACTCAAAACAAAAAAGGCATTTCACTTCCAAAACAAAATATTTCCAAATACAAAAAATGGAGAAAAACCTTGCAAACAGTCATAAACAACATAGGCATTTCTAAAACAAAATATATTTTCCAAATACATAAAAACAATGAGAAAACTGGCAAAAGAGTCATATTTCAAAATATCAAAATAGTGAAATTTCACATCATATCAAAACTATAAAATTCAAAAAACTAGGCAATTTCTAAAAACTCAAACAAAATAGGCATTTCATTTCTAAAACAACATTTTTTCAAACACATAAAATGGAGAGAAAAACTTGCAAAACATTCATATTTCAAAACCTCAAAATAGTGAATTATCGAAACTATAAATTTTCAAAAGACAAATAAAAAGCATAAATCAACGGCAGAATCCATGCAATTTCTAAAAACTCAAAACAAAAAAGGCATTTCACTTCCAAAACAAAATATTTCCAAATACAAAAAAAAGGGAGAAAAAACTTGCAAAATAGTCATAAACAACATAGGCATTTCTAAAACAAAATATATTTTCCAAATACATAAAAACAAAAAGAAAACTTGCAAAATAGTCATATTTTAAAATATCAAAATAGTGAAATTTCACATCATATCAAAACTACAAAATTCAAAAAGCTATGCAATTTCTAAAAACTCAAACAAAATAGGCATTTCATTGCTAAAACAATATTTTTTCAAATGCATAAAATGGAGAGAAAAACTTGCAAAACAGTCATTTCAAAATCTCAAAATAGTTAAAATTTCACATCATATCAAAAACTCTAAAATCTCAAAAGACAAAAATAAAGCATAAATCAACCCAAAAAACTATGCCATTTCTAAAAGCTCAAACAAAACAGACATTTCTAAAAACAAACAAACGAACAAACAAAAAAAACTCCAAATACATAAAACGGAGAGAAAATCGTGCAAAGTAGTCATATTTGACATTATATCAAAATTGCACTATAAAATCTCAAAAGACAAAAATAAACACAAAAAACTATGCCATTTCTAAAAACTCAAAAAAAATACGTTACTAAAACAAACACACAAAAAAACCTCCAAATACATAAAATGGAGAGAAAAACGTGCAAACTAGTCTTATTTCACATTATATCAAAATCGTAAAACTTCACACCTTCAAAATGGTGAAATTTTGTAATTTTCTCCAATTGTCGTGTTTTCATGTCAATTTTCTCAATGTAACAATAGATAAATTTCGCAAATGGTAAGATAACAAAAAGTGAAATCTTGCTCTTTCAAAACAGTGAGATTTTGCAAAATTGTCAAATTTCACATTATATCAAAATTTTAAAATTTCACTATCAAAATGATAAAAAAATAAAAAATAAAAAATAAAAAATTGCAAATTTGTAAAATTTCAAAATAAAAACTATAAAATTTTAGAATTTTAAAAAAATCCAGTGTAGTCGAACATGATCTCCAATTGAAAAAGAAACAAATATGATGTAATAAACAATTTGATATTCTTACCTTTTAGAACAATGGTAAAATAGTCATGCAAATATAAAAAAAAAAATTTAAAAATACTTCATCTCACAACATCCTTTAATGTGGTACTAAATAGGTTAATAGACTTTTATGGGACATCTTCTTAAAAAGGGACATCCGATAGGACTTAACACTAATTAACCTTAAATTTTTTAGAGATTTCCTTTCTTGTTTCACAAAAGTATCTTCTAAGATTCATATTAGGTTTCTCATTCGATTCTTGATCGTTTCGCTGCATCCTTTTCCCCTAGGAAGCACGGATACGGATACGGATACGGATACGGGATACAGATACGATACGATACGGATACGGTGATACAACAAAATTTGAAAAACTAGGATACGGGTAGGAATGGCAACGGGACGGGGCGGGGCTGGGGATCACCCTTCCCGTCCCCGATCCCCGAGACTACAAAATCCCCGTCCCCGGCCCCGATCCCCGACGGGGAACACACCACTCCCTCCACCCCCGCCCCCAACGGGGATCGGGTTTCCTCGACCTCGGAAAATCCCCGTACTCATCATCAACATCATCCAAAAAAAAAATTTCATCAACAAAGACATTAACAGCAGCAACATCATAAAAAAAAAAAAAAATTCATCAACAACAACTTATCAAGGCATGTACAAACAATTTTGCATCAAACACAAATTATTTGAAAGCCGAGTCTAGTATCAGTATGTTTGGGTCAAAGGGGGTTTTGGCAGCAACATCATCAACCAAAAAAAATTAAAAATAAATAAATAAAAGATAGAAACAGATCTGGCGGAGAAGGACGCAATCGACGGTGGCAGAGGGATCTTCTCAGATCTGCCATGGCAGAGAAAGGGGGAGGCGAGAGGCGACGGAGGAGGAGGCCGGCCCGCGAGAGGCGACGAAGGAGGATGCTGTGATGAGTAGCAGCAGTGGAGGAGGGAGATCGGCCGAAGATAATGGAGGAGAAGGGAGATCAAATGACGCCGTGAGTAGCAGCACTGCGCGCAGAAGGAGGGAGGGAGAGAGAGAGAGAGAGAGAGAGAGAGGGGGCTGAAATAATATTAAAATGTGAATGACTAGAGAGCAGAGTCAAAATCAAAACATATATATCTCTTAGGTATATTCAGGGAATATTCGGGGCAATTGTCGGGGATAAATCGGGCCGGGGTCGGGCCGGGGCCGGGGCTGGGAAATTTACCCCCGTCCCCGGCCCGAAAATTATCGGGGATTCAATTTTTAATACCATCCCCGACCCTATGGGGATAATTTTCGGGGAAAATTCGTTCTAATCGGGATCGGGGGATCGGGTCCCCGTCGGGCTGGTTTTAAATTGCCATCTCTAGATACGGGTACGGCGGGGATATCTTCATAAAAAATATTATTTTTACAATTTTTAATAATGTACATAAAAATAAAACTTAAACAATTTTTAGTAATGTAGCATACTTTTGAGGACATTTTTGAAATTTTTTGCACAAAAAAAAAATGTGACAATTTATTTAGCCAAATAGGTTCAACTTTTTTCATAACCAAACACATTTACAACTTATTTTAATTCTTTTAAACTTATAATCTAAAATTTTATAAGTATAAAAGCTAACATATAAATTATATCAAATGGGGCCAATGTGAAAACCATGAAATTTCATAGTTTTCAGAATCTGTAAATTTTACTTGAGAAATTGAGAAAAAATTTCCCCTACAATCTCAAATTTAATATTGATTTCATTTTATAGATCTTAAAGAATAAAGAGTACATTTTAAAAAGAAAAAAGAAAAAATGTGTCATAAAAATAGGAGATCGAAAGAAAGGGAGAGCAAGACGAGACGATAGAGGGAGAGGGAGAGATCGAGCGAGAGCAAGAGAGAAAGAGAGTGAATGAGATCGAGTTTGTCCAGAGAGATTGAGCGAGAGGGAGAGGGAGAGGGAGAGGGAGCGAAAGGGAGAGAGAGAGGGACGAACCTGATCGACGACGCTGCTGTTCGCGAACCTAGGGCTTGGTTGGTTGATAGAAACTCCTCCTCCTCCTCCTCCTTTGCTGCTACTGTTCGTGATGAACCTAGGGCTTGGTTCATTGTTTTTTTTGTTTTATTTTACATAACTTTTGTTATTTTGTAGTTTGACCCCCATTATAAGTTTTTAAAATTATTTTTTCACCCCGCCGTATCCCGAGCGTATCCCTGAAGCATCCTCGCGTATCCCAAACGTATCTGAAATTCAAAAAATTAAAAAAAAAAATAGGATACTTATTTGCTGTATCTGATATGTATCCCGCCGTATCAGATGCGTATCCGTATCCGATACGTATCCGACACGTATACGGGAGCCATTTCGGAATATCCGTGCTTCATAGCTTTTCCCCTCTATTTTCTGGCTACGTTTCTCGCTTCCATTTTCCTATGGTTTCCCACTTCTATTTCCTTTTATAGAAACTGTGTTTTGACCTAAAGAATACTCATACCCACTAAAATAAAGTCATTACGAAAGTATAAAATAAATAACCTGACAAAATGCATATATGGTACTCAATACCTAGAGTCAGCGCCTCTTCATAACTCCAGTTCTCTATTGATTAGAAATAATTTGTTTCTGATTATGGGGCTTTTGTGTCTCTAATTATATTAATGATTCTAGTATTGTATTGGTTATAATTGGAATAACAATATAATAATTGCTTTTAAATAGGAAAGCTGTGGAGCTGTGAACCGAACAGGTTTTTCAGTTTGATTCTCATCTAGGTCTGCTAGTGTCAACAGTTCGTTCTGGCAAAATCCTAAAACCGATAGATATAGTTCCTTGGATTTCCTCAAGACTGAACCTATCTGAATTGTGCGCATCCCTACATAGACCTACTTGATTGGCAATATGCCACAGGTGTGTGCCAGAAGACTATCAACCACATAGTAAAATAAAAAATAAAAAATAAATAAAAAACAGCATAAATATTCTACATATATAATTGTATTTTGGTTTTAGGATTAGTGAATAGGGCTTATGGCTTTCTACAGTCAACCCCAAAATGGTTGGATTATGCTTGAGCAATTTTATTATCAACTTCACAATTTTCCCCCACTAGGTATCATTCAAGACAAAAAATAAAAAGAGAAGGGACAAAAAATAGGTAAAAACTTCCACATAAGCAATAACATGCAAAAAGCTCAAAACCAACAAATTTAATCGTGCCCTCGTACATAGTGAGTGATTCGAATGGAATAACAAGATAGTGTTTGAAAGATATAGATAACAATAAAGAAACCTATATTATTGATGGCTAACAATTTGTGCATCTAGATCCAGACAGAACAAAGCAAGCGAAACAAAACTAACACAAGTTCATAACATAATCAGATAGTACTAAAGAACAAAGTATCATAAAATTATCTCATCACGGGTTCTCATAAATTGCATAGATCAAAATAGATAATAAGACAATGAATACTCACATCGACATATTGACATATAAATTGTAGGAACAACAATTCCTGCATCTAAATACATTAGCAGAAAATAGGGTTAGGTTTTTCAAATTGAAAGAAACGAAAAACAAAACCGAACCAATCCCTCGTGTGCACCCCCTCAGTAGAACTGCTTGATTGACAATTTGCCAGAGTGTTTAAGTGTGTGCCAAAAGACTATCAACCATACTCACAAAAATAAAATAAAATAAAAAAATTGCATAAATATTCTATATATATATATATATATTTGTATTTGGTTTTAGGATTAGTGAACACAGATTATTGCTTTCTATAGTCAAACCCAAAATGGCTGGATAATGCTTGAACAATATTATTACCAACTTCACAATTTTTCCAGAGTAGGTATCATACAAGACAAAAAAAATATATATATAAGGAACAAAAATTAGGTAAAAACTTCCATATAAGCAATACAATGCAAAAAGCTCAAAACCAACAAATTTAACTGTGCCCTTATGCACTGGGTGATTCAAATAGAATCAATCCAACACCATATAGTGCTTGAAAGCGATAGATAACAACGAAGAAACCTAAAATCCTTGATGGTTAACAATTTGTGCATCCAGATCCAGCCAGAACAAAGCAAGCGAAACAAAACTAACACAAGTTCATAACATAATCAGATAGTCTAAGGAACAAAGTAAGATAATATTATCTGATCACAGGTTTTCATAAATTGCACAGATCAAAATAAGGCAATACAAAAATGCACAAAAACTAGATAAAAACTTGCATATAAGCAATACAATAATGCAAAAAGTTCAAAACCACCAAATGTAATCATGCCCTTATACAAAATAGGTGGTTGGATTGAATGAATCCAACACCATAGAGTGTTTGAAAGACATAGATGACAAGGAAGAAACCTAAATTCTTCATAGATCCAGACAGAACAAACACCATAATACTCCAACCACAACCAATCGAAACAAACCCAACACTTAATAACAAATTCACAGGTTTTCGAAAATTGCAGAGATCAAAGTAAGACAATGAAGACTAACATTGAGATCGTAGAAGAACAGCGATTCCTGCATCTAGATACGTTAGCAGAAAATAGGGTAAGGGTTTATATAGATTGAAAGAAACGAAAAACAAAACCCTAATCGATTCAGCGTTTTTCAAAAGAGCTTCGACTCACCGATTCGAGAATCCACCGACTGATCGTAAGCAAAACCCCAATCGATTTAGGGTTTTTCAGACAAACAAAGATCGAATCACCGGCTGGTATCGTTTCCACGCCACCGAGGGAGAATCACAACCCTGACAAACGAGAGATCCAAACAGCCCTTCGAAGAAGAAATGGAAAGTTTGAGAGAAAATAATTGAAAACAATTAAACATGGGTTTATATATATAGATTTGTATATTTGCATAGAAAAAAATAAAAATGTATAGTTTTGGGTTTCCTTTTATGTCTATCACCCAGACATAAAAAGGGATTGTGCTTGGTTCTTAGGTTTTGTTGGTAGGTGAGGGGCCATCGCTGAAACGCGTTTGTCAGAATTGTAATTCTCCTCCGATGATAGGTAAAAACAATATCAATTGGTAAGACGAATTGCCCACCATATCTATGTATGAGAAGGAAATGGAAGAGATCGCTTTAAAATTTTGTTTTGTTTCATTCGATTGCAAAAAGTAAATATGCTTTGTGTGATATTTATTTAAATTATTTTGTTTATAAAATTGAATATGAGTATGTCTTTGTTTGGACCGACTTATTTATTTATTTTTTAAATTTTTACTAACTTTAGCTTTGTTTTTAGTTTTTTTATTTTAATTTTAAATAGTGGTATCTCCTTCAAAAATAATTTTTTTTTGAGTTTAAGTCGTTGTCGTTGATTACTTTTTTTATTGGATAAATCATACTAAACTATTCGAATGATTTTGAAATTACATTGTCAACCATTTGTTCTTTGAAATTACATTAACACCCTCTTTTACATAATATTGTTTAATTCAATGATACAATTACTATAATGCCCTTGTTTTATTATCAAATTTTCGTGAGATATACCTACCTCTCATCTCTTACAAATAACATCCATTTACCACTATAACCTCATTTACTCTTTGTCCTTCTCTACTCCAACTTTCTTCATTACTCACATATTCCTGAATACCAATCTTTAATCATCATTTCTCCATTTTAGATGTATGTCTCTCTTATATATAGTTGCAACAACTCCCTTTATAACAATGACTTTTATCTCTGTCTTTAATTTCAACCGTCAATCTCTCTCTCTTAGATCTTGTCGTGAATCACTCTATATGACCCAAAAACACACCACTCATAACTATTCAAGGCAATAGGTGTTTCCTAGTCGACATTTATCAAAGCTTATTTGATTATGGAAATATAATAAATATTTGGTACTTAATATGCATATTTTGAATCATGTTAGTAGACTTGTGATTTCATTATTTTTTTTATTGGTAACTTATCTTTATTTTTGACATAATTACACTGGCTTCCATTGAAATTTAATTCACATAGCAGTTAGTTTTTCTTCAATAATTTATTAGTCGTATGAATAAAAAAATAATATTTTCATCTATTTTCAATTAAAATGTATGTTTATTTTTATTTATTTCTTTGTCTGCCTACCATATGTATTAGTTTCAGTCGGTTCAACTATATCACAAGAGAGGTCAATGCAATTCTCTTAGAATTGTGAGACTAATTGTATTCTTCCAAAATCTCAATGGAGGTGAGTATAATTTATCCAAAAATAATTGAAAATTTATTGGGGGTTAAAAGAAAGAAGTCCCATAAAATACTTGCATCAATGAAACAATTATTCATTAGAAAGAGTGAGAAGTGGATTCATCATACAACAATGCTTATTTAATATTTGAAATTACAATCAATCTTGTTTTTTAGTAAACAAATATATATATAACAATTTTTTTTACATTCCAATAGTATGCACACCAATTCCTAGCCACCATGATGAACAACCTGCTCCTCCATGCAATTATTGCATAGAAACCTGAAATAATAATAACCAACAAATATAATTTTGTTAAACAAAATACAGTTGTAGTAACTTCATACACAATTGCTCCAAGTTTATATTTTATTTGGAAAATGATATCTGTCACCGGATGAATATTTATTTTGATTTTCAGCATTTTATTTTACTTTCTATACTTTTTTCCAAACAATAAATACCTCATTTATGTGTACGATCCATCATATTTCTTCTATATCAATATCATTTGTTTTTTTATTTTTTTGTTTTTTTTTTTACATCTTTGAATTATATGTCAACATATTTTTTGCTTTTATTAATTGCTTAATTATTATCTCTAAATTATGAATCCATGCAGGAGGTGATACAACAAGGTCATTAAAAATCAATGATATGTAGCATTTCTCTAAAAAATAATATAGGACCAATCATGCCACACAAAAAGCCACGTAGAAGGTGAAGAGTTTAAGTAAAATATTCTGGTGAAATATAACAACTGCTATTTGTGATATCTGTGATATGAATCAAATCAATTAAATGGCAAAGGTGCACAATTAGTTTTGGTCAATAATATTATGATAGAAAAATTATATTAAAAATCAACACAAAATGATGTTGCAAATTTTTATTTTTTTTTTAAATGTCACTATCATGATAATAAATGTGATCACATCATTCTGATAATAAAATTTATATAATAAACTAAGAATAAAAATTTTCATAATCATATAATGATGTAAAGTTGCACCATTGCACTATCTATGGCATAACAAAGGATATAGAACAAATTACTGACCCATTCTTACCTCATGAGACTTCTTGCATTATCCATTGCTGCAAATTCCACTTTGAATTTGAAGAACTTGAACTAATAATAAAGAATAAACAAATTAATATTGTCATCTTTATTGTATTATATGCTGCTAGATGACTGATGAATATGGCATTGTTGTATAATATATATATATATATATCTTCTTCTGATCAAGGGCATTGTGGCGAAACAACCCCGCTTTTACTGAGTTTGACATTGTTGCATGAAGCTTTTCCTGGTGTGATGTTCACATCTTGCAACACAATCCCCTGACATGGATAGTTCTTACTGCAATCGAATGTTATGGCAATGCTGGAGGCACTCGTTCCTTTGATGTTCTGGTATACCACATTTTTCACTTGAACAGCCGAACTCTGTGATAAAAAATGAAAGCAAATAAGAATTGATTTTGTGTATATATAGAATAGTATTATCAACGATACTATTGTAGATCATCAATTGATATAATAGTATCAACTAATATAACAATATCGAAATTTTAAAATTCCAATATGGTATGATCTTTTTACCTGTCCAGCACATGGTTTATCTTGGTCACAGTACTTTTGGTCTATGATAATGGGGTTGGCCACATTATTCATTTCCACATTTTGAAATTTAATGTTGCTTGCACTTCCAGATCCCCCCTGTGTATTAAAATATGTAAAATATTTTATTTTTCTAAAATTTTTACTAAGAATTATTCACAAAAACAATGTGACAATGGCAACATTTTAAATTAAGAAATATTTTGATGATTTTTTGTTTGAAATAATTGGTTCACAACTTTGTCACACCAGTATATATATATATTTATATATATATTCAATTGTATGCATGATCTAACAGTTTGTGAATAGAGGACTTTCATAATAGAGGCAATTTGCTAGATTTGAGGATAAGTGATCGTATTTTTTATTTTTTAAAATCATTTTCTATTACTGGCTACATGGCAAAAAAAATTTAAAAATATATTTCCAAAAAAACGGAACCTATCTTGAGCATGAAGGAGGCAATGAATATGATATAAAAAGATGAAAACAAAAATCCAAGTCGAGCCTGCCATAATTCTATCAAAATAATCAGTGCTCAAATGTACATTAATTTATTCCATATATTAGAACTAGAAATAAATGAGACAATGAAAATGAGAGTTTGACATTACGTACATGCATGCATGCATGCTTACGTGTAAATATTGAAAGATTGAGTCCATGCATATTATTGTTCCGTTTGGAAATTGAACATTGTAGTAAAAAATTTTAAAAAATCATTAAAAAATTAAAAAAGCTAAAAAAGTATAAAAGAAAAGTGAAAGATTTTTTCTCATTCTCCCTACTTTTCACACTATTTTTTTTTATAAAAATTTAAAAAGTTATTTTCAAATACTCCATATTTTAGCTAAAAGCAAAAAATCATTTTCCAAATGAATCCTACCTGCCAGGTCTTGATCCGGACTCCATTGGTAGTACCAGAAAGCTTAGCTCCATTCACCACCACATCTGATACATGCTCTTCTGATTTCCCTGATCCTAAGCTTCCAATACTGATATTATTTCCAAAACGAAAGCATTCAATTATATAGAACAAAAAAAAAACAAAAAACACAAACAAGAGCAACAGTTGAAATGGAGACCTGATTCCATGCCCTGGTCCACAGGTTATGTCTGTGGCCTGCACCTTCTGTGACCCACTTACTATTGATATACAATCATCACCTTCAATTTTGTAAAATGAAAAATGTATAAGTTAAAGTTGAATTGCCAACCATCAATTCATTTATTATTGAAGAGATCAATAATTTTATTATTTATAATCTCTATACGATCTCTACTTGAGAACAAACTTTCTCTCATAAGTAGATTAAATAAGTGATTATCAACTCATATAAAATCTTAGACTTTATTTTACTCGACTTTTAAGAGACTTATCCTTTTGATTTATTTATAAACTTTTTCCAATTCTGTGTCAAAATTCTTACTTTTTAGACTAGATGACCCTAAACTTTAAAAAAGATTAAAAAAATAAAAATTGAATTATTTTTAAAAAAAGTCTAGTAAAGACGAAAATAAGCTGAATTTTATAATAATAATAATAAACCCTTAAAGAGTTAGCTTTGTTTTTGTCTTTTTTGATTTCTTTTATATTTTTTTCAAAATTTGACAATAGGTTGACAAATAAAATTCACTAAAGACAAAAACAAATCATAAAAATAAGCAAATTTATAAATTAAAAAAAAAACTCTTAAACTATTAGAGAGAATATAACTTTTTATTTATATTCTCAACACAGTTAGTTGATAATTTGTGCTATTATATTTTTTTTTATTATGATATAAATATGCATACCCGTGCCTATAATGCAACTTGAAATCTGGATGTTTTGGGTGTTGGTGACATGAATTCCGTCAGTGTTAGGGCTCTTCTCTGGTGAAGACACCACAAGATTGGATGCTTGAACATTCACGCACCCCTCGAATGAAACATGAATTTGCTGTGCATTTTTTATCTTCAGGTTGTTCACTTTGATATTCTTTGAGTTGTAGAAAGTTAATGCCTGCCAAAAACAAAAATTTTCACAATATTTCAAGATTCATTGAAGATGTTTTCACCTACATTTCTCAAAACTAGATAAATTTGTAGCTGCTAAAAAATATAAAAAATGATGTGATGGTGGCATTTTTGTAATTTAGGCCTCGTTTGGGGACTTATCTTTTTAGCCAAAAAGCTAAAAAGTTACCTT